TGCCACAATTACACAAAAATGCATAACACAATTAAACAGCATAAAATAACATATAAATACAATTAAAGCATGTTAAAACATAGCACCAATCCCATAGTCATCGTCCAACTGCTTCTTATTTCAGTACCGTTAAAGTATATTGTACTATAATTATACTACTCCCCAAATGCCTGATGCCATTACCAGGTTTTAACTTTTTTTTCTAAAGACCAGGAGGAAGGAGACTGATCTAATATCACTGGGAAGGGGCCACTACCGAGAAGGCCCTGTCTCTCATCCCCACCAGTCACACCCACGACTGAGGTGGGACCGAGAACAAGGCCTCCCTAGCCAATCTGAACACCCGAACTAGTTCATATATCCCTTTTTGGCAACATTATTAGAGTTCTTTCTCTTCATCAAGTTGGATGGGTTGCTGAAAATGTTATATCACTAAAATTGTATAACAGCAAACAAAAATTGGAATAGGGTTAAGAGGATTTTAAACATAACAGAAAAGCCATCTTCCCTGTTGAAGCACCAGAAATGGTCTGAGGCTTCTCTGCCAGAGAGCTCTTTGGGAATCCTTCAGGAAAGGATAACATGGATATATCCTAACCATCACATACATGAAAGAATGTGCTATGGAACATCCATGTCAGAATGGGGAAGAGGATCATTAAGAGATTGTTCCTAGTGTAAAAAAACCCCCACATTTTCAAACACTGTGCAATGCAACAATACTTGGAGCACTAGGACATTTGATAAGGCTGAGGCAAAAGTGGGATTAATGCATCCTTAGGATGGTATAACAGCATGATGTGCTAATGTAGATTTTCTCCTTTGTCCTTAACTTACTTCAACTGCTGCAAAGGGAATTTGAAGTACAAAAACAGTTTGCACCCAAGCTCACCAGGGAGAGGTGAAAGGAAGGGCCAGGATTGTGATTTTCCCTGTAGGCTCAGACAAAAACAAATTCTGTACCTTTTCTTGTATGTATTTTCCTCCTTAATAACTTCAGATATCTTGACCACTCTCTGATTTTGATAGGCTACATGTACCCCACTTTTAATCTGAAATATTGGAGGGTATGTTCAACTTCCAGCATTCTTCACTATTGGCTATGTTGGCCAAGACCTCTGGGAATTGTAGTTCAGAGATATGTAGAGGGCTACATATTTTCCCCACCAGGCATACATATTTCAAGTAAGGTCTGCCAACTAGGGTTCTAGTACTTTCAGTTAGAAATTGTTAAGTAAGGTGTTTTTAAGTCACCTGTTTATTAAATACCGCTGTGAGTCACCTTGGGTCCTATGCTGGGAGAAAAGTGTTAAGTAAAATTAATATATACATACAATGTGTTGCCATATGAAGGATGGAACCTTATAAGTTTGATTGAATATCTTGGATTTTATCCAAGCATGTACAGATAGTTGGGAGTCCCTGGTGGCGCAGTGGGTTAAACCGCTGAGCTGCTGAACTTGCTGATCAAAAGGCCGCAGGTTCAAATCTGGGTAGCGGCGTGAGCATCTGCTCTTAGCCCCAGCTTCTGCCAACCTAGCAGTTCGAAAACATGCAAATGTGAGTAGATCAATAGGCGAGAAGGTAATGGCATTCCATGCAGTCATGCTGGCCACATGACCTTGGAGGTGTCTATGGACAACACTGGCTTTAAAATGGAGATGAGCATCAACCCCCAGAGTCGGACACAACTGGACTTAATGTCAAGGAAAAACTTTTACCTTTACCTACAGATAGGTGGTCGGAATCACGGCCTTTGTAATTGTAATGGTGAATGTATGTATTCATTATATTAAATTACACCCTTGTATTGGCTGGGCTTTGGTTCCAGGATCTCCTGTGGATCCAAAAATCAGTGGATCTTCAAGTCCCATTATATATGGTGGTGTAGTAGAATGGTGCCCCTCATATAAAATGGCAAAAACAATGTCTGCATTTTGAAATTTAAAAAATATATATTTTCAAGGTAGAATCTGTGGAAACAGAATCTGCAGATAGGGACGACAGATAGTATTAGTACATTAAAGTAGAAATTTGGAAAAACCAATGTCATTTTGTGGACTCCTAAGTAAACTACTGTGGATGGTAGATCTCTCCCCCCCCCCCCCCCCCCCCCCCCCCCCCCCCCAGCCATTGTGTGTTAATTCGCTGCAAAGCAGTGAGAAAAAGCAGATGGGCTGCTAATCTTCCTCTGTGCTGTTGGCTTGCTTTGAGGCGCACCAGCTGTTTGACACTGTCTAACAGAGCCAATTAACCTCAGAAAACATTGCTGGTGATTATCACGGCAATACCTTCAGGATGAGAAAGGCGGCTGAAGTTTGTCAGTGTCTTCAGGCTATGCCAGAAGTCCCAAAACAAGTATACATGCAAACAGTTCCAAATAAAATTAATCAGACATAAGACTGAACCACTTCTGGTGACCAACCAGAAAAGGTCTGCTAGAAATGGCCATTGTTTGACTGCTGTGTCCACAAAACTAATATATGCGGATTCACTTGTCTATATGGTGCCTCCTGTTCAAGCTAAACCCTCTTCTCACAACCTCTGTTGTTTGTCCTAATGAAAATAATTGGGTCACTATTACATACTTTCCTGTATCTACATAAAGTACAGGAACATACCCCCTGCAGGTATGGGTGTCATACTGTATATGGATTACATTGGCCAACACACATTTTGGTGCCACAAATGTTAACCCTGTTTCTGGGTATATTTGATCTGCTGATTCCAAAAATAGCACCAGTTTCCCCCTATCAGCTCTAGTTTTTGAGATGCAGAACATATGCCATCTACCAATCATCTGGCTGGCCATAGAAAATCATGATAACCATTTGGAAAACGCCTGTGCGTGGATTTTTTTTAATGTGTGGAGGTCAGTGCACAACTGATCAACACACAATCTTCACAGAGTGTGGTTCCACTGGTGATGTAGTTTAACACAATGACCATGGCTTCTCAGTCTGTTGCAGCCTTCTTCCGCCTTCGCAGCCGTTGTAACATGTGCCATGTTATCCTCCGCCTGCTCCGCCGTTGAGGTCTTTGGGTCGGATAAGATTTATCCAGCACTGTTTTCTGCACCTCAGATAACTCCACGAACAGGCCTAAAAACCAAGACACCAAGACTTTTTTGTTGGGCTATGTTATTTCCCCAACTCCCTTGTTGACACAAGGGAGCTTTATATTTGTTTTCTTCACTGGATCTTACTGTATTTATGATTGGCATATGGAATCTTGTCTCAGAAAGCAACAATCTGCAATATTTCTTCAGTCCTGTACTCTTAACAAGAGCACAATTTCACTTCCCAGAGTTTGGGAAAAAATCCTTTTTGCTTGACAATTCCCAGAAGTTGCATACTGCCCCATGGTGTTAGTAATATTGTAGGATACTTTTCAGTACTGGTTCTTAAGATGGTTTACATTAAATGGAACAAAACAAAGTTTTAAAAAAGTTTAAAAGGAAGAAAGTACAACAATTAAAAACTAGCATAGAGGAATACTCTTATTTTGTGTTGCATTTCAATGAAAATTGCTCTCACGTGCATATACGTGTGGGGGTGGCACAAAATCTTAATTATTTGCATGTTCTGTAATTTTTGGATGCAGTATACCAATGTTTGTCCAACCCTTGAGTTCTTGGAATACTTTTTCCTTCTCCCACTGCTGATTTTTCTTGATAACGCACAGCTGAAGAAGAATGCTGGCTGTGATCTAGGTCCGGGCTTCTTGACCTCTGGTCTTCCAGATGTTTTAAACTTCAGCTGTCAGAAGCCCCAGTCAACATGGCTGATAGTGAGGAATCCTGGGAGATTTAAGTCCAATATTTCTAGAAGACAGGAGTTGGAGACCCACAATTCTTAACCATGTGTTCAATTATAAAATGTTGTATCATTAAAACAAGCACCATTAATCAGGGCTGGGATGTTGCGTCAGTTGATATAGAACTATGGTGGTACCCATCAGTCCTGCTCCTTGTAACATCTGCATCATAACATTACTTATCCCTTCCCCCTGTGAGTTTTGACCCAGAAACGTCAGGAGCTGGACTATTTATTTGTTTATAAGAAGGCTATCATTGGCTTTGGCAGGTTCTCTATGGCCTTTGCCTCAGCATGTTTTATCTGTAGGAGTCTTTCAGTGCTCCTTCAAAATGGGTAGTTTGAAGACCACTGTGTCAATTAATACTTCTTTAGAAGAGTATTCAGTTTCTGAAGCAGTGGTGGTGGGAATCATGCTGTTGGACTTAAGTTCCATTGTCATTGATTTTATTGGTTGGGGCAATGTGCAAAACTAGTTATATAAGTATCCAATATTAAGTGCAGCTGTTTTGATATTGACACCTGAAATTCATAAATCCAGCCGTTATTCTACTTATCTAGTATGGCAACATCCTGTGAAACCCTGGGGTTTGGTGTTTAGGAGGTATATTTAGAAATCTCAGCTCTTTTAGGGCCCACCAAACTATAATCCCCAGAATGTTGCCATAGCAGCTAAAGGGGAATAATAGCACTATAACAGTGTTGAAGTGTGCTAGAGCATCTCAAGTCTATATGACATCAGTGATTGCATGGGTGCCATCCTGTGGGTGCTCAGTACATCATGGACCATATGCCACATTCACAGTTGCAATCAGTATCTTCGGTGGATGGAGCAACATAATCTTTTAACTGACAAACATGTTGGGGATATCGCCCACTCCCAGCAATGTAAGAAATTGTTGCCTTGGGTCCTGCAGAAGGAAAAAGGCAAGATAATGAGGGGGGGGGGGGAAGAGTGTTCACGCAACAGAGCTAAGTTTTCTTTGTTCCCTGAAATTGAAAAATACAACTATATTTCATTGCACTGTGTGGGCAGAGTATATATTTTTGGAAGTCTGCGTTTCTTTTTTTGGTTAAATACAAATTGTAATTTTTTTCAGTGATGTGGCACATTAACAGAAGGAAACTGTTGATTTCTTACTCTCTGAGTTGAAATTCTATGTGAATTATGTTTCCTAACTGCAGCCCCTTTGACAACGAGAGTGTAATTTTGTCTCCGGGATCCACTGCTAAGTTCTCTGTTGGGAGCAGAAAAAACTCCATATACAGCTGGACTCCACCAAACACGCCCAGTTTCCGAGAGAAGTATTACCTTGTAAGTATGAGGGGCTGAAGAGTGCTGATTTGCCCTAAACCCTGCACTTTTCTGTCTTTTGTTATAAGTTGGATGTTGCTGAAATCTGTTTGACTGACACTTCATATCAATCTTTTATTGCTGACTTGCGCCCTCTATTGTGAGAAACGAAGAATAAACATTAAATATACTTAATTAGATAAATAATATTACAAGGAGTGGTGGGAGGAGAAGGGATGATTTCACTCATTATGGGTTCATGATTGAAATCCTTTTGGGATAAAAAAAATATCTCTGTGAACAAAAGGAGATCAAGGAATGGACCATTCTAACATTCCCAGGATGTCAGAGCATAGGAGCAGCCAGTGAGAAGCTCCTATTATACATCCTCTCTAAGCATCCCATGAAGGTGATAAAAATAAAAAGTACTTAGAATTCCCAAAATGGTATATGCCAGTGATTCTCAACCTGTGGTTCCCCAGATGTTTTGGTCTTCAACTCCCAGAAATCCTAACAGCTGGTAAACTGTCTGGGATTTATGGAAGTTGTAGGTCAAAATACCTGGGGACCCATAGGTTGAGAACCACTGGTATAAGATGTCATAATTAGGGATGTTAAGGAAAGGCAAGGGGTAAGGGGGTAAGGTATAATAACCACGAGAATAAAAATATACATCAAAAATATAGTTTTGGGATCATGCTATAACATGTATTTTCTGGAGGAATATGCTATTTGCTTTTCAATCTGTTTTGTATTTGCCTCAGTCTGTATTGCAGCCAGGGAGAAAACAAATGGATATCAAAGACGATGCCCAAGATTCCTGTATCCTGAGCTACTTGGCTGACTGTGATTTTAGCATGCACCAAAGGTCTACTAGCCATAGCTTCACAGAAACGGCTGAAGGCAGCTCATTTAGTTCTGAGGATCAAAAAGGGACAGAGAGCAGAAATGTGACTCCACCCTCAAATCAAAGGACGTTGCCATTGTCTATGCTGCAGGACGGTTGTGCAGAAAGGGGGCAATGGAAACTTTCTCTGAGCCACCCTCTCAGTCATAGAACTCTAGACATCCTTCAAGAAACACCACATGCTGACACTACTGCCACTGTCTCATCATGCCTGTTGGATCAGGAGACATGTGATAGCAAATCCATCACCAGGGACTGGAGTCTGTCTTCAGCTCAACAAAGAAAGGTCCTTTCTCTTGGCCAAAACAGCTTGAAGGACAATGCTGGTGCTGAGCATGGTAAAAATACCAGATCTATTGAGAAGATCCTGCAAGAAGTGTTACATTTGCTGGAATCACAGCACTCATGTCCCATCCAATTGAAAGAACTGGAATACCAGATTTTGTGTATCCGGGAGAAATTAAAGGTACAGTGTTGTTATCATCCTAAGTTTCTGCCCCTTAGTGTTTCTAGAATCTGAGGCCAAAACATTTCATTGTGCAAATCCACATTCACATACATAGTGTTATACAAAACTTAAGATGTTTTATAACATTATACAATTGGTCACATATCTGGCAGTATGTCTGCTTATAATCCAATTCTGCAATCCAATCCCAGTGGATAGAATGATACATTAAAGGCACTGACAAATAATTAGGCACCATGCAAGAAAGCACAAATAGATGTCTTATCTGTTGCTTATTTGTATTTATCTATATAAATAAAAAATTCTCTGTTCGTTTGTGGGATTAACATAACTCACAAACAGCTGGACTATTTGAAATCAAATTTGGATACTGCACACCCCCCAAAACCAATGAGTGACCATCACTCAAAAAATCCCCCAAACAAACAGCAGAAAGGACTTCAACCCCCCCCCCCCCAAATCCCCAATGACGACACAGCACATGCATGGTCCCGCCCCCTCCTGCACAAGGGAAAGAGTGGGCTGTTACAGAAAGGTGAGGTGAGCAGGTGCGAAAGAAGCATTTTGCCATGAGGGTTTTGTGTGTGTAAGGGGGAAGGAATCTCCCCACAAGCCTTGCAAGCCTCCAAACGACTGCATCCTCCTTCTCCTCCTCCTCCTCCTTTTCCACCTTCCTCCCTTCCAGCAGCTTCCTTCCCTTCTCATTCCTCCTTCTCATGCCTCTTTCCCTCCCTCCCTCGTTCCTTTCCCTTGAACTCACCACATTATATATATATATATAGAGAGAGAGAGAGAGAGAGAGAGAGAGAGAGAGCGCAAGAGCGAGAGCTGAAATTCGTGTGTGTGTTTATATATATATATTACTGAAATTCATATTCTATCTATCTTATCTTCTACAACTTGCCAACATACACATATTGACAGAGCTACAGTGTGGGTGGGTGGAGTTGTGGAAATATAGTGGAATTAATGCACATGCAATATCATCCCTATAATATCCCCTCAAGATACACACTTCAGCAGAGACATACTTCCTGTGTGAATGTGTGTATTTGAGGAGAGAGTTGAAGAAATATAGTAAAATTAACACACACATAGGTATTTTCCACAACTTCCTTTCAACACAGACATTTATTTATTTATTTATTTATTTATTTGGTACACTTGTATACCGCTAATTTCTCAGCCTAGATCGGCGACTCAATTGCGGTTTACAGCAAATTAAAAACAATCTCCAATTAAAACATATACACATACAATAACAAATTATTGGGCCACCAATAATAATCCCATATGTCTCGAGTTGAAATCACAGTCCAGAAATCGTTGTCCATATTTTCTGTCCATAGTCACCAAGAATCGATTGCCACAGATTAGCCGAATGCTAGTTTGAACAGCCATGTTTTTAGTCTCTTCCTAAACACCATCAGTGAAGAGGCTGATCGTACCTCTATAGGGAGGGTGTTCCAAAGCCGGGGGGCCACCACAGAGAAGGCCCTGTCTCTCGTTCCCGCCAGCCGCACTTCTGAAGCTGGAGGGATAGAGAGAAGGGACTCTCCAGAAGATCTTAGGGTCCTGGTGGGCTGATAGGCTGAGATACGTTCGGATAGATAAGTTGGGCCAGAACCGTTTAGGGCTTTAAAGGCCAACGCCAGCACTTTGAATTGAGCCCGGTAGCATATCGGCAGCCAGTGGAGCTGGTTCAGCAAGGGAGTTGTATGCTCCCTGCGCTCAGCTCCTGTTAAAATCATGGCTGCCGCCCGTTGGACTAACTGGAGCTTCCGGACTGTCTTCAAAGGCAACCCCACGTAGAGAGCGTTGCAGTAATCAAGGCGGGATGTAACCAGCGCGTGGACTACCGTGGCTAGGTCAGACTTCCCAAGGTACGGTCGCAGTTGGCGCACAAGTTTTAACTGTGCGAAGGCTCCCCTGGTCACCGCCGAGACCTGGGGTTCCAGGCTCAGCGATGAATCCAGGATCACCCCCAAACTGCGAACCTGTGTCTTCAGGGGGAGTGCGACCCCATCTAACACAGGCTGTAATCCAGTACCCTGTTCGGCCTTACGACTAACCAGGAGTACCTCTGTCTTGTCTGGATTCAATTTCAATTTGTTCGCCCCCATCCAGACCGTCACAGCGGCCAAGCACCGGTTCAGGACCTCGACAGCCTCCTTAGTAGCAGGTGAAAAGGAGTGACAGAGTTGGACATCATCTGCATACAGATGACATCGCACTCCGAAACTCCGGATGATCTCGCCCAGCGGCTTCATGTAGATGTTAAACAACATGGGAGACAGTATTGAACCCTGAGGAACCCCACAAGACAAAGGTTGTGGGGTTGAACAGGAGTCTCCCAGTAACACCATCTGAGACCGACCCTCGAGGAATGAGTGGAGCCACTGCAAAACAGTACCTCCAAGACCCATCCCCGCGAGGCGTCCCAGAAGGATACCGTGGTCGACGGTATCGAAGGCCGCTGAGAGGTCGAGCAGCACCAACAGGGACACACTCCCCCTGTCGAGCTCCCGATGCAGATCATCCACTAAGGCGACCAAGGCTGTCTCGGTACCATGCCCCGGCCTAAAGCCAGACTGTGCCGGATCCAGATAATCCGTGTCTACCAAGAATGCCTGGAGTTGTGAGGCCACCACACGTTCCATGACTTTGCCCAAAAAGGGGAGATTGGAAACAGGCCGAAAGTTGACGAATTGAGTGGGGTCCAGTGATGGCTTCTTCAACAGCGGTTTTATTACAGCTTGCTTTAAGCTGGCTGGAATTTTGCCTTCCCGAAGGGAGGCATTCACCACCACCTTCACCCACTCGGCCAAACCCCCTCTGGCCTCCTTTAGAAGCCAGGATGGGCAGGGGTCTAGGATGCATGTGGTAGCTCTCATTCCTCCAAGCACCTTGTCCACATCCTCGGATTGAACCAATTGAAATGAATCCATCAAAACCGGACAAGCAGATGCTCGGGTTACATCCTCAGATACTGCCGTTAATATGGTATCCAGTCCAGAGCGGATCAAAGCGACTTTGTCTGCGAAGAACCGAGCAAAAGCTTCGCAGCGAGCTGTCGAGTCATCAGGGCACCCATCCTGAGTGGTGGGTTTTAATAGGCCTCTGACAACTCGGACATTTGCATATCCACACCCATTGTGTATGTGTGCGCGCGCGCGAGCAGTACATCTCGCCCCCAAAGAAAGGAGACAAAGAAGAGAGGGAAGGTCGGCCATAGCAACATGTGGTAGGTACAGCTAGTCTACAATAAAATAATTGACTCAATTGTTCAGTGTTGAGTCAACACACAGGCATATCCAGTTGATTCATTGAGTCTTTAGAAATTTGGACTAACAATAGGATTTAGGCACATGTGAAATTGTTCAACTCTTTTGCAATTATTAATTGAATAAATATGTTACACAATAGCCAAAAAGTACAACCACATGGACAAGAAAACTTATATAGGTATGTGATGGCCAAATGAATCCAGCCAAATGCTTCAAAAATGTTCTCACAAACATGTGGATTATGTCTAGTATGATGCTGGAAAAGTCCATGAAGAAATATATCTCAAAATCTAACTTGTTATGGTATGAGGTTTTGCAGGCAAGCCTCAACACCATCAGTTATATGAAATGGACATTGAGATACAGAGAAATGGTTTAGGGTGGAGAAATATAGCTATGCAAAATCGGATTCGAATGAATGAAGCCTTACTGAAATAGCAAAGCCATATATAACAGTCAATTGCAGAAATCAAAATTTAGTTGCAAGGGAACATCATGTCCATCTAGTTTCCCATGCCATGATGTAAGCTTATGCATGCATTTGTAGGGCAGTATCTTCTTTGAACACTTCATGTGACTGCTGTTTTTCAGAAGAGCTTATATTGCAATAAAATTATTATCTTAAGACTGAATCATTAGGTGGAAAATAGCACTAAGAGTATTTAGTCCAGCTTCCTGCCAACACAGGATATTATCCACTGCTACAGCAGCCATGACCACTTCAAAACTTCAAAACTTTTATAAAAGAGAATTGGCCACATTCTAAGAAACTTCGTTTCACTTTGAATAGAACAGAGCTTAGGAACATTTTTTAATTTATCTGGAATTTTCCTCTCTTGTAATTTCAACCTATTGATTTGAGTCCTACCCACAGAACACATGGACAAAGTTAGTTGCCATAAGACTCCTTAGTGTTTATTGTAACAGATGAACTGGCCTATTCTTCTAGAACAAACACCCCAGTTTGTTTATTTAAGACAGTTTAATTCATTATTTTCTAAAGCACTCAAGGCAATTTACAGTTTATTTTTAAAAGACAGAAAACATCAATAGAAAACAAATAAAAATAGGAGCTTTTTAGAGTTAAGACGAGACTTCAAACCAATCCCAACCATTAGAAATCAAATACCAATGAGCTCTCAATATTGGCAATGTTTTAGTAACTCAAAGCTACCTAGAATTTTACAGAGATACCTAAATACCAATGCATGGCTGGTTTTCCCAGCTTATCCTTGAAATCACTGGTGTTCTGTGTGTTTTTTTTTTCATTTCTGAGAATCTGAAATAGGGTTATGAAATAATCAAATTAGACATGACAAGGGGAAATCTAGACATGCCATTGAGTGCATTTTCTTTGGGAACAATGTCACAGAATAGTCCCTGCAGACAGGTTGGCCCATGGTATTCCATAGTTTGGCCAAACTCTGTCAGTATCTTGGTAGTTGTTGTCATTTGTTGTCAGCTTATGGTGGCGCAGTGGGTTTAAGCTCTGTGCCAGCAGGACTGAAGACCAACAGGTCGCAGGTTCGAATTTGGGGAGAGGCGAATGAGCTCCCTCTATCAGCTCCAGCTCCTCATGCGGGGACATGAGAGAAGCCTCCCACAAGGATGATAAAAAAAACTTCAAAATCATCCGGGCATCCCCTGGGCAACGTCCTTGCAGACGGCCAATTCTCTCACAACAGGGTGCTCCTGACACGACCAAAAAAAAAAAAATGGCAACACTGTGAATGAGAGAATGCTATGAGCCCCAGTCATTAACAGCCCTTCTCAGGACTTTCAAGTGCAATGATTTGACTTCCTTGATTGAATCTAAGCAGCTTTAATATAGCACGGCAGTTGATGATGACGGGCCCTTGGAGGCTTCTCATTCATTCCTCTTGTCCTAAGTACAGGCTACACATCAGGATAATCAAGTGTTATGGCATCCCCATTTCTTCAAGGACTTTCCGTAGTTTTTCATGATCTATACAATCAAAGGCTTTGCTATTGTCTATAAAGCACAGGCTGCTCCATTATCCAGCATATATTTGCAATGTGATTCTTAGTATTGCTTCTTCCCTGAACCCAGCTTGTAAATCTGGCATTTCTGCTCTATATAAAAGTCTCAGTTGTTGGATTTTGGGCATCATTTGCTCACATATGTCTTGCTGTTACAGCTATTTCTGGTTTCCCCTTTCTTGGGGACTGGAATATAAGTGGGCCATTGTTTTGTTTTCCATATTTGTTGAATTATTTGTGTTGCCAACAGCCAAAAAAGTACCATCCAAAACACTCCTCTGTTGAGAGCTTGATGGTGGAGACAGTGCTGGAAAGCTTTGACTTCCTCAATGCTGACTGCAGTGCGGATGAGCTGTCGTCCTTCGGGAGTGTAAGGGCTTGCAGTATCAGGTAAATGCTTCTGTATCAGTATGTGTTATTTCCTGCCAAGGTCAATAATACATTTCTCATCATATTGTTATCACCCTTTCAGAATTGTAAGATGCACACAGTCCTCACTACAGAAAGCTGAAGGAATATGAAAAATAATCTAAATAAGAGTGAGAAGTCCCACTAATGGGGAGTTCTCTAACTAAATGTGAATGAACATTGCTTTGAGAATTCATGGAAATTCCTAAAGGATTATGATGTCTTATAATTTAGGACAAAACTATCTGTTACTATAATACATTGTAGATGGCTGTTGCTTTTTCCTTCTTAGAGGTAAATGCACACTGGCTGCCTAGATTGGGTTCCCATTATGGAGAATAGGGGAGGAGGCTTTAATCCCTTCTATTGGTCTAACCCAGATAATATCCCTATGTTTGCTACAAACAACAACAACAACAAAACAAAACACAGTTTTCTCCCATTGAGCATTTACTCTATTTTTTGGAAATGTGATTTTGAGGATTACAGTTCCCAGAATGCCACAGTTAACATAGTCAATATAATTATTCTGGGAGTTGTAGTCTTCTCTCCCACCCACCCTAAGAAAACCCCACATCTAAGCTTTGCCTTTTTCCTATGCAAATTTCATATCAAGTATGGATCTAGGCCACACTTGTTTTTGATAAAGAAGGAATAAAACAGTAATGAAAACCAAAGGTGTCTGCATGGACCATAGTAAATATGTAGCATCAAAGTGTTATAATTTTGTAATGTGATGAAAACCAACAGATAACTAGACTACTAACTGGGGCTTAGCTGTAGGGAGCACACCATGCCCCTATTAAAGCAGCTGCACTGGCTTCCGATAAGTTTCTAGACCCAATTCAAAGTGCAGGTTATCATCTATACACTTCAGGTCCAACCCATCTTCGAGATCTCATCTCCTTCTATGAACTGTCTTAAGCACTGTTGGTAGGGACAAGAAAGAGAGCCTTCTTGGTGGTGGTCCTCCAGCTCTGGAATACCTTCCATAGAGAGGTTAGGTTAGCCCCACTCCCCACGCCTTTTACTTTAAAAAGATGACTTTTAAGACAGGCCTTTGACCTTGTGTAATTTGTGGTCAGATTGAGAACGTAGCAATTGCTTCAGTCTGCCACTTTGATTTGTTAATTGTAGATAGCCAGCTTTATTTACAGGTTTTATGGTGTTTTATGAGTGGTAAAATTTTCTTAGATGGGGTTCTATATGTGGCTGTTATTTTTAGTTATTTTGATGTTTTATGTATAGTTAGTTATGTACAGCACTTGAAGTGCTTTTGTGATGCGCCCCGAGTCCCTTCAGGGAGATGTTGGCGGGGTATAAATAAAGCTTATTAAGTGTCTTTATAACATATTAAAACAACCTAGATTAGTCAAATTCATGGGAAATTTTTCTGTCAGAGACTGAGTCAAAGAAGAGGCCTTTTATGCTCAGAAGCATGATGTGTTGTTTATGTCGACTGGACTGGAGTTAGAAACACTAATCTCATTCTCTACCATAGTACAAGAGGAGCAGTGACCATTTTCTTTAACATGAACCTCAACAGTATGGGGCTTAATTACCGAAACCTTCCTTTTCTTTTTCCTTGTTATTTCTCTTCCCATACTTACCATTTGCACTAGCACCTACAACGATTCCACGCTGGCATCCCTGTACTATGATACCAAAGTAGAAAAGAAAGAGCTAACAACAGGAACAGATGACCTAGACACACTTCTGGAAGTTCATCTGCAGTTCTGCAGAGCTCTTTTACAGGTGGGGAACTGTATTCAAATGCCTTCATTTATTTTTTTTATCAGCTTAATGTCTTATTACCATATTTATTAGCACAAAATCAGAGACACGGGAGGCATGACACACTGTGTTTGGTTTGAGAGATTCTGGTGATTCAGTAAAAAGATTCTGTAAATATTTTGTCCTCTTTCCTGGATGAAGTCACACTGGAGCAAAAGTTTAGTTCAGCATTCTTACCACAGTGGCTGATGAGTTGAATCTGGGAAGCCCGCAAGAGTTCTGTACCACAACCAACTCTGCTTGCCTTGGAAATCTGAATTTCCTATGTATTGCTTCTCTTTGTATAGACATGTTCCTGCTTTCTATGGACCTGATCACACTAGAGAATGATCCACTTTAAATCCAGTTTCTGCCTCCTGCAGAATTCTGGGGTTTGTAGTTTAGGGAGGAGCATTTAACAACCTCCCTAAACTACAAACCCCAGAATTCTGCAGGAGGCACAAACTGAATTTAAAGTGGATTCATTCTTTAGTGTGATGAAGCAGTAAGAAGGTCTGTAACTCTGTGGTATAAAATGTGCTTTGGAGACTGAAGATCCCAGATTCAAACCCCAATATTTGCAGGTAAGGTTGGAAAACAACCTTCTTTGAAACACCAAGAAGTCAGTGTTGGTGATGTCAAGAGTTCATTACAAGGCAACTTTCAATTATTCTGTTTTCCATGCACAATATTAATTAGTAAATTAATTAATGAAATAACAATAGCAAATCTGACTTTTCTGTCTTTTATTGGATAGTTACCAAGTTGGATACCCTCAAAGAAAATGGGTCACTTTTCTCCCCAGTTCCTATATGGTGGCTCTGTCAACCTGATTCTTTTGAATGTTAAAAGCTGCCTTATATTGAGTCACATCACTGTTCCTTCTCTATCTCAACCAGTTTGCTGTAATGGGTAGCAGTTCTCCAAAGCTCTTAAGTGTCTGCTATTTGATCCTGTTCCTTGTAGATTCAGGGGAGGGAGTGGTTTGAATCTGACCTTGTAGCATGTTATCTTGCCTAAGGTAAATCCCACATCCATGCTTGTAACAGTACCACACTGATTCACATTAGGACCTGAATCCTTTTGTTAGTCCTGATTGGAGCAGATACTTTGATTCAGCGGGATTTACCTATTTGTTGACTCATCAGCAATTGACTGAATGGATCTATTGTAGCTGGGACTAGCCAGTTTATAAATTCTCAGGTATTAAAATATTTTTCTTTCATGGCAGGAAAGCTAGTGCCACAATTTTGATAGTGAAAAAGCTATTTGTGTATATGTCCATCAAATCATTCAAGTTAGGCAGCTTTATTTGTAAGCATTTAGCATGAATTCTCAAAGCCAATGCTGTAGTCCAGCATATATGGAAAGCACCAAGTTGGGAACTGGATGTCTTCCACCTCATTTTCAGTAATCTCAAAGTACACTTCCTAGTAAATCATCTTCCTGGCTTGATTGGTTACAGGAAATACTTCTTCTGAGAACATGGCATTGTTCTATTCTCCATGGCGATTCTGTTAGTATAGTGGTAACAGTGAACTCTAAAAAAGACCACTGTCTGTATGGTGGGCACCCAGAATGCTGAATCAGCAATTTGGTTATCCACAGAAGCACCACAATCCCCATAGAGAGAGATCAATTTCTGGAAGAGTCACAGTGCTCAGACTCCCAACTAGTCTACTCATGCTTACTCATCAAGAAATCTTTTGCTGAGCAAATTCTCTGGTCAGCACATTTTAAGCATTCGGGCAAAAAAGTAAAGGTGTCTTTGTAGAACAGTTAGGAAACAGAAATATTTTCCACTATGGATTGTTGTGGGTTTCCTGGGCTGTATGACCGTGTTCCAGAAGAATTCTTTCCTGACATTTCACCTGTATCTATGGCAGGCATCCTCAGAGGTTGTGAGGTCTGTTGGAAACTAGGAAAATTGGGTTTATATATCTGTGGAATGGCCAGGGTGGGAGAAAGAACTCTTATTTGTTTGAGGCAGGTGAGAATGTTGCAATTGGCCACCTTCTTTAGCATTTAATGACCCAAGGTCTGGCTTCTTACTGCCTTCAACAGCGCATTCTCCACTATTTTCCAGTATTTCACAGATGAAATTCTGGGACAGTTAGAATCATAGAATCATAGAGTTGGAAGAGACCTTGTGGGCCATCCAGTCCAACCCCCTGCCAAAAAGCAGGAAAATTACATTCAAAGCACTCCTGAGGGCCATCCAGACTCTGCCTAAAAGCCACCAAAGAAGGAGCCTCCACCATACTCCAGGGCAGAGAGTTCTACTGCTGAACAGCTCTCACAGTCCGGAAGTTCTTCCTCATGTTCAGGTAGAATCTCCTTTCCTGAAGTGTGATCAAGCAACATCGAAGTGTGGTGAAGATGGCAAAGGAAACTGTATTTCACTGAGTCTAAGGTGTCATTGAATGGATTTCAAGCTTTGATTTTTGCAAAAAAAAATCTTGGAATATTGTTTAGATATCTTTTGTTTTGTTTCAGTGCAGCTTTGTAATGTAATCTTTCCTGTAGGGTGAGGAGGGAGTCATCTGTCTGCCTAAGTCTGCACAGTATTAAGTCTGCCTAAGTCTGCACAGTCTATGGGCTTGTTGGGGAGGCAGTGGAAGCAGGAAGCTGCACTAGCTAAAATACTGGCAAACAGTTGTCTGACTGAGGACAAAATGGTGGGAGCATGGCACAGCCATTTGGGGCCACAGTCCTTCCTCCCCCTCCTCCTCTCTTTCAGAGGTAAGACAGTATTGTAAGAAAAGAAAACAAAACAAGACACACCTGCAAATGTAAGGCGCGTTCCATTTTTGAAGCACCTTAAGCAGGAAAAAGTGCTCATTACAATTGATGAAATACATTAGCAATAAGGAAGAACAGTGATGCTGTAGCAGTTTGTGTTTGCCTGTGTCTACAAGAAAGGACACAATTATGTTCCCTTCTCTCCTTGCGGCTACAAACTACATTGTTGTTGTTGTTGTTGTTGTTGTTGTTGTTGTTGTTGTTTAGGACATATATATCCCGTCCTATCTCAACCTCTGCAAAGGGACTCAGGATGGCTAACAACAAAAAACATAGGCATACATATCAAGTAAAAACCAGCATAAAACATTATAAAAACATTAAAACAATTGCCAATTTAAGTCATCATCCTAAAAACAGTCCATCAGAGTCCATTGAAACCATAGCTTTGCCATCAAGTCAAATTAACCAAAAAAGGCCTGATCCCAGAGTCAGAATTTCACTTTTTCCAAAATGTCAGGAAGGATGGAGCGGATCTGATTTCAGTTGGGAGGTAATTCCATAGCTGAGAAGGCCACCTCTGAGAAGGCCCTATCGCTTGTTCCCACCAACCGCGATTGTGATGGTGGAGGGACAGCAAGTAACACCTCCCCGGACAATCTTAAGGTCCTAGGTGGTTCATAGTGGGAGATACGTTTAGACAGGTAAACTGGGCCAGAACAGTTAAGGGCTTTATGGGCCAAAGCCAGCACTTTGAATTGTGCTCAGAAGCTAATAGGCAGCCAGTGGAGCTGGCATAGCAAGGGCGTTGTGCGCTCTCGGTATCCCGCTCCCATGAGCATCCTAACTGCCGAGCATTGGACTAGCTGAAGCTTCCGAACAGTCTTCAGAGGCAACCCTACATAGGGTGTGTTGCAGTAATCTGTTCGGGATGTAACCAGAATGTGGACTACCATGGCAAAGTCCGAACCCCAAGATACAGGTGCAGTTGCCGCACAAGTTTTAATTGTGCGAAAGCTCCCCTGCACTTTGAACTTCGTTGCAGAAGCTGAAATAAACTCAGGACATCAGAGGAAAGAGGGGGATAGTTATTTGGAGAAATTGCGAGTTCCAGTATGCTCCAGTCATAAATCTGTCATAAATCTTAGGAGCTGTATACAAAGAAGGAACGTTCTCCAGCATTGGATCTACTTTGAAGCTGAATCTAATCTCAAATGTCTATTGAGTGGGTGTGTATAGTTTGCACATAGAGTGACAGAATCCATGGGAAATGCTGCTGTGTTCAAGCTGCTTTTGGTTCATGTGGGTCATAATGTTTGATTCAACGCAAGAGCTGTAAAGGTCCTCTATGTGCCTTTCTCCGTGTCAGCTGCTTATTGGCATGTAATATAGACATTGGAAGGGAAGGAAATGCTTTTATTTACATCCAGGGTCATCTATGTGCAATTAACCCACAGCTGTTAGGTTTGTATTTGACAATATGCCTCCCACCAAGAGGTGGAAGGCAGGTGTTTTCCCTGATGGCTTCAGAGAGCTTTTGGATGGTGCTCAACTAAATTTAGTTGGTCCATTGCATCAAATGAGACATGTTTCTCCACCCCCTCTTTGTTTCTAGAAACTGGTCATGCCAAACTTAGCTCCAGTTGTGCAGGAGAGTCTTTTGGAAGAGGTATCACAACAGAAACACATTCTGGAAATAATCTCTGCGCTGGCTGCTCCTGTACCACGGAATCTAACATCTGTTGAAGAAAGTAAGTCAGGTGATACTCCAAATCAGAGGGGTGGAACAAATCATAGAGACCCTCTACTGGGAAGTATCCACATTACAGAGTTGTAGCACTTTGATACTGCCTGCACTACGATCTTGTGAAAGTGTGGGATTTATGGCTTGGTGAAGTACTCAGAAACTTCTATAAAGAAGTACCACATACTAGATTTTTCAGTGAACTTTTGTCCCTCCCTAAACTGCAAGTCCCAGAATTTCACAGGATAGTTTAAACACATGATATTTACAGGTGGTACAGGTCAAGTATCCCTTATCTAGAATTCCAAAATTCAAAATATTCCAAAATCCAAAATTGTTGTCATTGGTGGCTGAGATAGTGACATTTTTGTTTTCTGATGGTTCGATACACAAAAACATTTTATGCACACAATTATTTACAATATTATCTATAAAGTGACCTTCAGACTATGTTTTTATGATTTATATGAAGCATAAATGAATTTAATGTTTAGAATTGGGTCCCATTTCCAAGATATCCTGTTACATTTACAAGAAAAAGAAAAATGAAACTAAATACTTGTGCTCCCAAACATTTTGGGTAAGGGCTTTGATACAGGATACTCATCCTGTATCAAAACCCTTTAGTTGTTCAATGTGATTATATTCCTCCTCCATTCTCTTGAATCCTCTGCTTTCTCAATTGGTTCAGTCAAAGCTTCAAAGAGGTAATAGAAAAGAGTCTAGACTTATGTTTGCCTTCTTGTGAAGCTGCCTCAAATTATTATAGATCTAATAAAGAGGAAGTGATTAATTTTTGTAACCTGCCTTGAGTACCACTTCTGGGGGGAGATTGTATGTAAAGAAATTTTGTTAGGGGGAAGATCATAAGACATGCAAACTGAAAACTAACACCTGTGAGAAAAGAAAACAATTTGTTCCAGTAGCAGCATTATTTAGGATGATCACCATAGTTAAACCCATTATTGCAGGTTTCACCCTGTGCTATCAAATGTTATTTGACTTCTTTCATATCTAAAACCAGCAAGAAGGTGGAGATTGATCCCAGGAAATGAGCTTTTCTGGGAAGAGCAACATTTTAATGACATGGTTTGCTATTCTACACAATAATCTTGTTTATAGGTGTGTGAATTTCTGTATATATCAATTTGTATTGATTCATTTCAGGCACACTGATGTCACTTTCCAACTCCTTTGCTGACACTGTTAATTTTCCTTTTGCAGTTATTCAAAAAGCTAAAAAGCAGAAGCGCTGCCTGAAGATCTGGAGCGAGTGTACTGAACAGGGAAGCATTTTGTTCTGCCCAGTGGAAAGATTTCGGAACCCCTTGAAATATATATTGATGTTCAAAACAAAAGAGAAATATCAAAGACATCTAGAAAAAGGTACTTATCTGTTCTGAGCAGATGGCACAAGATCACAATGATTTTGAGTGCATTGGACTCAATTTTAAACTTGTCAAAGAAATAATTTGTTCTGCAATCCATTCATTTCCATAATACAGTAGAGTCTCACTTATCCAACCTTTGCTTATCCAACTTTCTGTATTATCCAACGCAGTCAGATCTATAGTGAGGAAAGTGGAGTGTATTACCTGTGGAATAATGTCCAGGGTGGGAGAAATAAAGAACCCTTGTCTGTTTCGGTGCTACATTCATAAATACAGTAATTACTACATAATGTTACCGTATATTTAACTGCTTTTTCTGTTGATTTGTTGTAAAACATGATGTTTTGGTGCACGATTTGTAAAATCATAATGTAATTTGAAGTTTAGTAGGCTTTTTCTTAATCCCTATTTATTATACAACATTTTTGCTTATCCAACGTTCTGCCGGCCTGTTTATGTTGGATAAGTGAGACTCTACTATAGTTATAGGTTATAACTACAGCTTTGTCTGTACTGCAGGAAAAATGTTCCTTTACTCTGTGGTTTACCTTAAAACCCAAATTTCAGATGTTTGGCTGGTCTTCCAGGGAGCATCACTTTGCTGTGTTGGGAGAACTTTTTTTGAAATAATCTTTATTAATAAGGTTATTTATACACTGTCATAAAAAGGGGGGAAAGCGGGTAAGAGAAAGGAATTATTTGTTAAGAACTGGGGCTGTTATCTATTAAAAGATAAGAAAAATAAAAAGAAACAACAAATAAAAAAGGGAAAAAACAACCCTAAAAAGCTATAAAAAGGGAAATATAGAATGAAACAAAATAGGTAAGGTTTGGGGGTATTGGTTGACTTCCAGTCTTTTTCATTGTGGTTAAATATTATTTGTTCTGTTTCTTTTTCCATTTCTGCTAACCCTCTTCTTCAGTCTTCCAGATAGGAACAGTTCTTTTCCCTTTTCATCTCTTAAGCTATAGTATCATTTTCATCTATTCTTTTTTTCAAATAGTTTTAAAATAATGCCCAGTCTGTCCCTTTTTTAGGACTATTGCTATAAGTTGCAAGTCGTTGAGTTAGTTTGTCCATATTCATTATTTCACTATTTTCATGAGCCATTGATCAATTGATGATATTTCTTTTGTTCTCTGTGTTCGTGCATAGACTATTCTGACCATAGTTACAAGGTAGTTGAAGAGTGTATCTTTATTTCTGTCTAATTCTATGTCTGTAATGCTCAATAGAAAATATTCTGGTTTCAGTTGGATTCTTATGTCAAGTATTTTCTCAATTCTTTTTTTGAATATCTTTCCAGTAATTCTTTGCTGATTTACAGGACCACCACATATGATAGAAAGTACCTACTTCTGATTCACACTTCCAACATTCGTTCTGTATATTTTTGTAATATTTTGCCAATTTTTTTCAGGAGTTATATACCACTGGTGCATAATTTTATACCAGTTCTTTTTCAGGTCATATGTATATATGTATTAAAATTTATAATTCCAGATTCTTTCCCAGTCCTCTATTTTAATTGTATGTCTGATATTAGCTCCCCATTTGACCATACATTCTTTTACTTGTTGTTTCTGTTGACCACTCAAGAAGTTTCTTATATTTTTTTTGTAATAGCTTTCTTTTGTATAAGCATTATTTTATCCCAAAAGGAGGGAGGAGAACTTAATGGTAATCTCATTACAATGTGTCTGATGTGTATGGCATTAACGGTTGCTGCAACATCACTGCAGACCGAGAAGTGCAGAGTGAAATTGTATGTTTTTCATCTGTGTAGATGAGCCCTAAATTAATGAAATTTAATGAGAAGTAACTCATGGTTATGGGGTTTAGCCTCACTCAGTGGTGGGTTCAAGCATTGGCTCATGCTGCACGTTATGTGGCAGCTGTGTGTTTTGCTGTATGAAGACAATGCAGTGAGAACTGTGTGTTTTGTACCAAAATCCAGTAGCTTGTAGCATTCCGGTGTTTTTTTAAAAAGTAACTTAAATAACTGATTGAGTTATTTTTTTAATTGAAAAACAAATATTTGTTTTTTAAAAGCTGCAACTGTAACAGCAGATAAGTACTTGTGAGCTTCTCTTTGCTTTAACTGTAACTACTTACATTTTGAAAATAACTTTCCGGGTTTGGCTATAAGTAACGAAACAGGAATACATTTTGGTAATACTTTTTAAAGAACTCAACTAACTTCCAAAAAAACAAGGGCCACAAATACTTATGAGGAATGTCTCATTCCTAATTTGTTTGCATTCTCCTTCAGTTCTGCAGATGTTCCTGGAACAGATAGTTGGAGGCAGCCTGTTCTTTCCTTCAGCAGACCTCCCAGCTGAATCGGTGACATTGTTTCAGTTTTACAGCTACCTGGAGAAACACCATGTGAACAACTTAGAAAAATATTTGACTAGGTTTGCTAAAGAAGGTAAATCAGTGGCTGAAAAGGGAAATAACAATTAAGATCTCATCTGGAGTACTTGCAATTTTAGAGCTGACATGGTGCAGTAGTTTGAGTGTTGGACAAAAGCTCCATGCGACCAGGGTTAAATTCCAAAACAACCATGGAAATCCACTGGGTTACCTTGGTCAACTCATTCTCTCTTTGCCTAAGATAAATGTAATTATAAATCCTATAGGATTACCATAAGTGATATGAAGACACACAATGACTGCAATAATGACAACTAAATTGCAGTTTTGGTGTCATAATTGTGAGTCTGCATTACTTGGGAAGCTGATCATCTGATCAGTCTTATCAAGAAGACAGGAGATGCATCTCATTACTGTGTCTGGAAAAATTTGAGTGCTAGTGTATTTTTAAAATCTCTGGATGTGATGCAACTGCCAGATTTCAGGACTACATGCTGCATCCCAGGTGTTTCTGCCATGCAAATTACAGCAACTCTAGCCAGTATAGACAGTGCTGGAAGCCTAACAACATCTGGAAAGTCACTATATTTCCACCCTATACTATGCCAATTAACGACAACTGCTGGAAGCAATAACAGACTATTGGGTTTAAGTTTTTTCCCCTCCAGGGGGACCTGATAATTCATTTTGGGGAAACAGGATAATTAGAAACAAAGGTTGAGGACAACTTCTAGTATTATTCCAGGTCTAGCTGCATCTTACATCAACACTGGCAATGTGAAAATGCTCTCCACATTTCCTGAGGGCAGCAGGTTAGTTAGGGGCTGTGGTCAGGTTGCATGGCCCATACACTTGTTCCCCAGCTTCTGGCACAATCAGGATGCTGAGCCTGGTCCAGCAGGGGTCATTTTGTGTTGTGTGTTTTCAAGTCATTTCCTACTTCTTGTAACCTTAGGATGAGCATGGGCAAACTTCGGCCCTCCGGGTGTTTTGGACGTCAACTCCCTGAAATTGCAGCCAGCTTGCCAGCTGTTAGGAATTGTGGGAGTTATAGTCCTAAACACCTGGAGGGCTGAAGTTTGCCCATGCCTGCCTTAAGATGGACCTATCATAGGATTTTCTTTGCCTTAACTTTCTTGGATGCTGAGAGAATGGACTTGCCTATGGTCATCCACTATGTTTTCATGGCTGAGTAGGTATTCAAATCCTGTAACTCATTGTCATTGGGTTCTGTCCAGTGGAGAGATGGTGTATTCCAGTATTAAAGCTACAAAATCATGCTGACTCTCTAGAGTTTATTGTACAGTCATAGAATCAGTGTTGTATAGGATTATAAAGAATCTAGTCCAACCACCTGCAACAACAACAAATGTTATTTGCTTCTTCCTATGAATCAAGGTGGGGAACATCAACACATTAAAATGCCACAGAAAACATCAATTAAAAGCACATAATACAAGTTCAAAACATATAATCTTAATTAAAAGAAAATATAAGACAAATTCATATTAAACTCAAACAATCTATACTTTAACATTCATAATTCAAAAAACATGTGGATAGGTCTGCTGGAAGAAACTGGTTTTTAATTTTATTTTACATTCAAACAACATATCCAGATGTTGAATCGCTTTTGGCATTCAGCAGTCTGGAGGCGGCGAAAGAAAAAGTCCTCAAAATGACAGTTGCTAACCTCCCTAGTACTGGCTGACTGTAGTAAACATTCCCTGGGGACCTGGGTGAAGAGGGTGAATTATGTGGGAGAGGGTGAATACATAGGAAATCTGGACCCTAAACATGTTATGCAGGAATACACAATTTAAGCACTGCCAAAAAGATGTCCATCTAACTTCTGTTTCAAGACCTCCAAAGACGGAGAATATAGAATCTACCAGGGTAGTCTATACCACTTTAGAACACTCTTACAACCCTGAAGGTTTTCTGGCTTCTTAGGAAAATTCCTTTTCTTGTAATTTGAATTCACTGATTTATGTTCTACTTTCTCAAGCATCAGGAAACAATTTTGCTCCATTTTCTACGTGAAATACTTTTACATATTTAAATATAGCTATCATGTCACCTCTCAGTCATATCCTTTCAGCTTGACATCTCACAGACACGGCTATCATACCACCTTTTCTATCAATGCCCAATTTTTGCAGTTTACACCATTTTAGGTAACGTTGCTGGGCATGTAATCCCAGAAAAATAGTGCCAGGTATATAGGGCAATAGGGACTAATGGTGTTCTTCAGGCCAAGGCCACTTCAGATGTAAATTGTTTCAATATTTTAAATGTATTGGAGGAAGTAATAGGCTGCATGATAAAAACAAATTGAAACTGCATCTAGAAAAGAGGCACCTATGTTAAAGATCTAATCTCAGATTGAAGATGTGCACACACAGTTTTGGATACAATTCCACCCCCCCCCCCCCCCCCCCCCCGAAAGACTGTGTTTGCAGCTTGGGATCAGTCTCACCAAATGTTGGCTTAGATACATATTAAAGTCAGGAGTTTATCAGCTTCAGCTAATATGCTAGCTGTGACCCCTTTCTGGAATTTAAAGACCCTAAGATGGTAGTGGCACTGGTAATCTTAAGGGTGGATTTCTGTAATGTGCTGTACATTGGGCTACCTCTGTACCAATTTCAGAAGTTCCAATTAGTACAAGAAATGTCAGCTAGATTGGTTACTGGTACATCCAAGTGTGAGAATATTTCACCTATTTTAAAATCACCCCACTAGTAGCCAACCCGTTACCAGGCAAAACACAAAGTGTTGGTTATTACCCTTAAAGCCCACATGGCTGGGTCTAGTTTACCTACTGGATAGCCTCCAAACCAAACATTCAGGGTTTTTTGGGGGGATGTTTACTACAACCAGCCAGAACTTGACTGGCAACTGTCACCCAGAGGACCTTTTCCTCATCTGCTCTAGACAGTGGAGTGACCTGCTGGACGTTATTCTACAGCAAAGCGAGCTGCCAGAATTTTAAAAATAACTGAAGACTTATCTCTTCTAGCAGGCCTACCCAGTCAATTTTAACTTTTGATTAACATTTTGTAGCTATGGTTGAGTTTTTGGTGTGTTTTAAACTTGCCTTTGCGTTTTTGATCTAGATGTATGTTTTTATATATTGCATTTTAACTCTGTTGTAACTTGTCTCAAACCTTGGGAAGCAGCAGGTAAAAAATGAAAATTGTTGTTGTTGAGAATTTTGCTATAATAGCGATGAAACTGATAGAAGAAGGACAAAAACCTGAAAATACCGTATGTACTTGTGTACAAGTCGACCTCATGTATATGTTGAGAACAGGTTTTGGTGCCAAAATTATGGACTTTGATGTCACTCATAGATAGGTTGAGGGTTCTTCTGGGCATAGAAAGTGCAAGTGCCACTTCCGGAGACCAGATGCCCCTAAAAATGTGATGTGGCGGCAAAAAAGCCAATGGGATTTTGGCCTGCATCAATAGGAGCATAGTGTCTAGCTCTAGGGAAGTAATGCTACCCCTCTATTCTGCTTTGGTTAGACCACACCTGGAATATTGTGTCCAATTCTGGGCACCACAATTCAAGAGAGATATTGACAAGCTGGAATGTGTTCAGAGGAGGGCGACTAAAATGATCAAGGGTCTGGAGAACAAGCCCTATGAGGAGCGGCTTAAGGAGCTGGGCATGTTTAGCCTGAAGAAGAGAAGGCTGAGAGGAGATATGATAGCCATGTATAAATATGTGAGAGGAAGCCACAGGGAGGAGGGAGCAAGCTTGTTTTCTGCTTCCCTGGAGACTAGGATGCAAAACAATGGCTTCAAACTACAAGAAAGGAGATTCCATCTGAACATGAGGAAGAACTTCCTGACTGTGGGAGCCGTTCAGCAGTGGAACTCTCTGCCCCAGAGTGTGGTGGAGGCTCCTTCTTTGGAAGCTTTTAAACAGAGGCTGGATGCCATCTGTCAGGGGTGATTTGAATGCAGTATTCCTGCTTCTTGGCAGGGGGTTGGACTGGATGGCCCATGAGGTCTCTTCCAACTCTTTGATTTTATGATTCTATGACCACCACCACCCCCCCTGTCATTTTCCTACAAAGGCATTCAAAAAGACTTTTCACCATTGGTTCCCTTTAAAAATGTTAAGGTACAATATTATTTTAAAAACAAGACAAAAACAACCTTATCTGAGTGATGAAAGATGATAGCTTAGTTCATCCCAGAAGAAATTACAAGGAAGGAAGGCATTGACCCCTGTAGTCATTTGGTATTATTGTGTGAGAAATTGCCTAAGGTCTTGCTTTTCATGACTTAGAGAAGGGGATTTTGATAAGAGTGACATTGATCTGTGTTTTGGGCATCAATTTTTTGACTAAATGATCTGGACTTATACAGGAGTATATGCAGTAATTTTAGGAGGACAGAGGTTTCTCCAATATTGTGTCTAAATTGCTCCCCCTGCAGTCATATTAACAGAAGACCTGCAGCGTCCTGGGAGAGTGAAGAAAATAAAGAAGTTGAAAGGGAAACAACTAAATCAGCTCCAGCCCCTGCCTAAGACCTTGCAACTCCTGGCAGCTCTGCAGCTTGATGAAAACCACCGAGTGGGCAAAGCAGCCTCCTTGTGTCTTTCTCGTGCGGTGGCCAACAGGAATTTCAGGGAAAAGGTATTTTATTTATTTAATTGGTATCTTGCCGTTCTCCCAGCATGGGACTCAAGATAGTTCCAGTATGAATTAAAACACGATGCAATAGAGATTTGAATCCTGGTCTCCAATGTCATAGTTCATCATTGAAAGCATTACAGCATACTGGCTCCACCCAGTTGAAAGACGTAAATAAAGAAAAAACATCCTTACTTGCTGGTGGAAAAATTGCAGAGACATGCTAGCTTTCCCTGCTATAATCTCCTTTTTCTTATTCACTGCATTCAGAGTATGCTCACTCTGGTAAGCTGCTGGAATGCTGTGGTAGTGAACCATAGGGTTGCCATTAAGTTGGACACAACGTGAAAGCACTTGACAGAGAGATCTGAACGTGTGTCATCCTACTTCAAACCTAACATTAGTATATCAGTATAGCAAATACACTGATTTGTAATCATTGGTGGAAATCTGGCAGCATATGGATTTTCCTGGTTTTTTCGATAAAACCAGACAACAGGCCTATAACATTGTGGATATTTGGCAGTGTACTAAAGAGCCATGGGGCAGAGTGATGGTTGGCTTTGTGAAAATGGAGTGCCAGTAGATGCCTGTCAGAATGGTACACTCATTGGCCTTACTGTAATTGCCATTGGCCTCTGCAAGCTACCAGCTCCTAGAAACTCTTCAATACTTGTTCTCTGCAAGAGTTGCAGAGCAACTATTAGGGTTGGGTTTTTTTTTCATGTTAAGAGCGACTTGAGAAACTCCAAGTTGCTTCTGGTGTGAGAGACTTAACCATCTACAAGGACGTTGCCCAGGGGATGTCCTTGTTTTACCATCCTTGTGGGAGGCTTCTTTCATGTCACCACATGGGGAGCTGGAGCTGACAGAGGGAGCACATCCGGGTGCTTCTGTCCAACTATTAGGGTAGAACCCTTTGAAGATAGCTGGATTACTGATGTCGAATATCCAAGCTTCAGCATTTTTGGAGTGTGTGTGTTAGTACTAATAGTACTATTCCATTTTCTGTTCTATTTTCCAGGCTCTTCTTTTTTACACAGACCTCTTAAACAACGAAGATGCAAAATTACAGCAAGCTGCATGTCTGGCCCTCAAAAACCTCAGAGTGAGTGTGATGATGGTGAATAATATGCTATCCATTTGTTTCACAGGCAGCCAGCAGAGGGAGTGGGAGACATGGGAAAGCCACATCACCAATGAGACAAAATAAGGGTTTTGCTCCTGTAGAAACACAGTGGCATGCGTACAGCTTCAGAGGAGAATGTATAGGTTGTCCCTGTTCTCCTTCCGCAACATCTTCCAACATCCGTATGATAGGCTAATTGGGGGTTATGGCAGCATATACCACCAATAGGTTGCTGACCTGGAATCAGACTAGAAGCTACATAATACATATCCAATTATTGTAATTTACACAGCTGGGAAATCTGGATCAGGACTGTGCCGCAAGTGAATAGTCGACTTTCCACACTTCTAATTAATTTTCCATTTGTCCTAAACAGAGCTTGGTAAAGGTGAAGATTATGGTGGTTAGTACTTGAATCTTAGTGGCCAAACTAACTATAACATTTTCAAGCTGTGGCCCTGGAATTAATACCAGAACGGTTTTTATAAGGGAAGGATATACCTATGTGGCACTGTCCTAATCCATTAGACTCTCACTTGGATTAAAATATAGAATATATATATATATATATATATATATATATATATATATATATTCATTCATTCATTCATTCATTCATTCTTAAGCATACATACAGTGTAAGCATACATACAGTGTTATTTCCTTGGAATCCTTCATGCATCAGTAAGAGTTGCTCTGAACAGGAGCAGAAACCACTATGTAAACGGATGTGCCTTTAATGAAGTTTGAGATGTTCTTACTAGTCAATTCTTCTTTAAACATTGTATTTTGCAGTCACTGAGGTATTTATCTTTTAGAATGTGTTAGGGCAATGTATAGCCTTTGAGTACTCATAGGCAGTCGTATTTCATTATTTTGCAGTGTTGGTTGTGTGGCCACTGAGCTTAGTGTAGGTGCGTTTCAGGACAGTGAGGGAAACCTTTCAAAATGGGAAGGCATTAGCCTTCTGTTTGCTGTTCATTTGCAGCAATGCAGTAGTAGCCAACACGTCTGGCAAGTGTGTCACATACAACAATTCTGAATTACTTGGAAAAGTCACTTTTGGACTAACTTTTGGTGTTACATATATTTAAGATCCGTTTATTAAAATGTGTGAGCCTGAGATCTTTAAAACAGCTTGAAACAATCTTTAAAAGTGGGGAAAGTTTGAAAGGCTTAAAATAACTGCTGCCCCCTTGTTTCTTTTACAAAACAGGGCATTGAAAGTATAGACCAAATTGCCAGATTGTGTCTATCAGAAACAGAGGATGTGAGGAATGCTGCCAGAGAAACAACTCTTTCATTTGGTGAGTGGATTAGTAATTTTGACCTTGTAGATTCTGAGTGACAGCAAATGACAAGAATCATGCCTTGGTGGAACTAGCAGTGTTCATTGTGCTAGTTATGTGCTGAGACACAAAACCACTTTCTCCAAAGAACTGGCCTTTCTCCTACATTTTGGATTGTACTTCAGGTCCAAACATTTAAAAGTAAGACCCAGCCCTAGGTTTTGTACACTCAATGGAAGCAAACATTCATTTACAATTTGATCAATGAACCAAGGACACAGGTTCAGATTAAAAGCTAGTGACTAATGCTTGAATAGTCATGTGGGTGAATGTGTTTGCAACTGTATTTGTTTTGTGTGCTGTTGTTTCTAATAAACTTTGCCTTCATCCAAATATAAGCATTGTGTGTGGCAAGGAAGCTTATGAACCATTCAGTTGAAAAATTGGATATCTAGGAATAGTTTCTAGATCAGGTTTAGACTTACCAGCTCCTTACCCTCCGGAGGGGTGGTGGACCCACTAGAATGGTCCGCTCCAGGAGACTTATGGATCCTAATAGATTTCTGATGGCTCTTGGGGATTTTCCCGCCTCCTTGGCAAGTGACTCTGTCGACGCTTTGGTCTCTTGCTGGGACAGTGAGATGACCAGTTGGGAAGCTGCCTCCTGTCCAAGGCTAGCAAGTTTGCTAGAGGGACTTGATGAAGGGACACAACATTCCCTTGGGAAACCACGTGTTATATTTAACCCCCCCTCCCTTCTTCTTCTTCTTTTTTTTTTTTTTGTAATCCGCACTTTCAAAATTGAGGTGCTCATTACAATTGATGGCATGGTAAACTTGAGTAAATATGGTATTTTCCACAGATGAAGACCTTCTTGTTCTGGTAGGAAAGTGAATGGCTCTCCAGAAGTTTTTGGCCTACACATTCCATTAACTCTGGTCAGCATAGTTCATGCTGAGAGAAGATGGAAAACATGCTAGTCCAACCATCTCTAGGGCCAAATTTATTCATCTCAGGAGAGAAACGTGTAGCTCTCTAGACCTTGGATTTAACCTCACCAGATTCCTTAGCATTAACTATGTTGGTTAGGAGCTTATGGGAGGGACAATTTATTCAGCAAACACTGGCTATTTAACAAACGAATATCTCCTTTTTCTGTGCAGGTGAAAAGGGAAGACTGGCCTTTGAAAAAATGGACAAAATCTGTTGTGAACTGAGGGATACCATGTACCTGGAAACTGAAATTGAGATTACAGTATTTTGAACAGTATTGTCAAGTGCGGCCAGCAGTTTGAGTTTACTTTTATTAGCATGTGAAGGTTCTACAGAGTGTTGAAGAAAATATATATTACATACTAAAAACAAAGCCTTCAGATGGGTTTTCTCAAAGCATCAGCCCAGACAGAAAATAGTGCTTTAACATTTTAACACAGCTGGCAAGTATAAAACTGCCTTGGTAACTCTGTTCTTACAACCAGAAACTATTCTTAACTTTTTTCAATGTCTCTAATTATCAGTTTTGCAAATAACAACAACTAGATCCTATAATGTAGCTGGATTAAGAAGATCTCACATATTGAAGTTCCCTTTAGTTGATTTTTTTTTTGCACAGAATAGATTGACACAGACTTTTAAAAAACTTTGAGGAAACTGGCACAATTCAAATGGCCATTCAAATGGGGTAAAAGCACCTAATGAATAAAGTCTAGAATATCACTTCATTTAAAGAAGAGATATTTATCTACAACTGCAGACCAATACAAATATACAGCCCTTCTCTTATACACAGAGGAAACAGAATACGTTTTGTATTTATTGATCTTGTGGATCAAGATTCTCTGAAATCATGATCAAGTTGTCAAAAGAAAGCTGGTTACCTTGTTATGGAGTTAGAGACAACTAAAATTAATATCTTGGGTTTTTAAAGATATATTGATGCCCACAATTTAAATCTGCACAAATCTAACTTTTCATTCAGTGCAGTTTTCATTATGTAATTTACAAGAAACACCTACAATGTAGTCGTTCTAGGTGATTATCCTCTGCATGGAAGTCTAACATTTCCTCTATACACCTGTCCCTTAACTGTTTAGTTTTCTTTCTGTACACAAAAAACACTCAGAACAACTTTCCTCCCACAAAATACCCAACCAACCAAAGATTTGTAAGTGCACTTATTCTTGGGATAATAAAAGACCCTCAAAACCATTTGCCAGTTTTGCCCCCCTCTTTCCAAAATTGAAAGGAGGTACACCATTGTCATTTTTTTTTTGAAAGAAAATCAAGTTCTGGGGTGCTGTGAGTTTTCTGGGCTGTATGGCCATGATCTAGAACCATTCTCTCCTGACGTTTCGTCCACATCTATTGCAGGCATCTTCAGAGGTTGTGAGGTCTGACCTAACAACCTCTGAGAATGTCTACCATAGATGTGGGTGAAACGTCAGGAAAGAATGATTCTAGATCATGGCCATCCAGCCCATAAAACTCACAGCAACCCAGTGACTCTGGCCATGAAAGCCTTCAACAACACAAATCTAGGTCTTCTCATCTAAGTGCCTAATTCTGGTTTTAAGATTCTTTGTGTGATCTGTAACTGCAATCTTGAACATATTTATATAAAACTATTACTGAACTCAGTAAGACCTATATTTGAGTAAACAGTTTGAAATTCTGAATGAACAGGATGGTTTTCCTCCTGCTGATAATGGGAAATATTCCAAGTGTGTGTTTGTGCAAGCTCCCGTCATTGTATCAGACCCTAACTTCTAATGTACATATTATATATAGTACATCGTGCTTTGTACTTTTCAGTATTTATTTCTGGGATTAGTTTACATTTTTTTAAAAAAAATGTTTTATTAAAACATTTGAAATGACATTTCATTGTTTTCTCAATCATTTACACAAAATGCAAAAGCAGCAGGTCTAACTTTTGAGATGACTGATGCTTCAGGAGAAATCACTCAGATCTGAAAACATACTGCATATACATGTGTATGAATTGAGCATTTTAACCTAAAATTGATCCCAAAAACAGAATTTGACCTATATGTGTGTCTAAGTGGAACCTCTTTTCAATGGCTCTGGAACTAGGTTCGAATGACTCTTTACTGTAAAAATTGTAACTCAGCTGACCTTTGAGAATGGAGAAACAGGCCTTGTATATATGTATTTTTTAATTTATTTGCTTTTAACTCTTGCATGCTGTAGATTCTTATTTACATTTGTTTAAGACGCCTTGATTCCCAAACTGGGAAAAAGACAAGGTGATAGTGTAACTCAAAGCAACTGAAGCATCCTGGTTTGCCCTTTGAAAATTAATGTGCAAGTTTCTCGAATGTGAACATAACAAGAAACGCTACAATGGTTTAAAAGCAGCAGTAAAAAGCCGCTAGTTGAAAGCATGGAATGCGAGTGGATCAATAGGTACTACCTCGGTGGGAAGGTAAAAGGGTGCCCCACATATTGGCAATAGGATCGGAGATGTCTACAGCCAGCAAGGCTCCTTCGGCATGGAAAATGGAACAAGAGCACTTCCCCATGGCCGGAAGTTGAGCACTGCCTTAAAATGCCGGCGATGGAAAGAAAGGGGAAGGCCTTTACCTTATATGTGTATGTTTTGTTGCTGTTTGGTAAAAAGACATTGAATGTTTGCCTTGTTGTTGTTGTTCCTTCGTTCAGTCATTTCTGACTCTTTGTGACCTCATGGACCAGCCCACGCCAGAGCTCCCTGTCAGCCGTCACCACCCCCAGCTCCTTCAAGGTCAATCCAGTCACTTTAAGGATATCATCCATCCAACTTGCCCTTGGTCAGCCCCTCTTCCTTTTTCCTTCCATTTTCCCCAGCATAATTGTCTTCTCTAAGCTTTCCTTTCTTCTCATGATGTGCCCCAAGTACTTCATCTTTGCCTCTACTATTCTTCCCTCCAACGCGCATTCAGGCTTTATTTCCTGAAGTATGGACTAGTTGGATCTTCTCACTGTCCAAGGCACTCTCAGAACTTTCCTCCAACACCGCAGTTTAAAAGCATTTATCTTCCTTCGCTCAGCCTTCCTATGGTCCAGCTCTCACATCCGTAGGTGACTACGGGAAATACCATTGCTTTGACTATGCGGATCTTTGTTGTCTCCTCTTCACTATTTTATCGAGATTGGACATTGCTCTCCTCCCAAGAAGCAAGCATCTCCTGATTTCCTGGCTGCAGTCTGCGTCTGCAGTAATCTTTGCACCTAGAAATACAAAGTATGTCACTGCCTCCTCGTTTTCTCCCTCTATTTCCCAGTTGTTAATCATAAACTTGGTTTTTTTGATGTTTAATTGCAACCCAGATTTTTGCCTTGCCTTATGTGTACTGTAATCTGCTCTGAGTCCCTCTGGGGAGATAAAGTGGAATATACGAGTGCATTGTTGTTGGCATTAGGTGTGGTGATGTATAAGCATGCAAGCCTGAGGTCTGCCCATATTATCACTTACATATGGTTCAGCATGCTACCTAAGTGGATGCAATTATTTAAAATTCAACAGCATGAGTCAGAGCTATGTCTTTGACTGCAGGGTTGTTTCAATATTAAAACCATATACCCAAACTCCTTTTCTACAACCTGGACAAGATAGAAGAACTATGACCTTTTTCTCCCTGCCACAATCCCAAGACATGTGGCTATAATAAGTCAACCATTGAACAGCTCAAGATATTTTTTTGAGGAAGTGGAGAAATATCAGACATGCTTCTTTACAAAAGAATTTTATTGTTGCAGCTAAAATGAGAACTGAAAATCTGTATGGGAAATTGAAAAACTGTACAGTTTTACTGAAACTGTGAGGTCATTGCAGCGCCTTACACAAAAGACAATATACCTGAAAATGTATTATACCAAAACATTTAGCTTGTGTCTTTTTTTTCTTAAGTTTTTTATTTTTTTTCTTCTTATTTTTTTTTTTTTACAAAAGAGTTTTCTATGGCAATCTGTAAAAAAGAAAGACCTGATGAGTAAATATTTGCTTAAGGCATATAGCAGAGCAGCTCACTAACTTTCTAACAAGTTTAAACATGGATATTTTTTTGTCTTCATCCCTCCCCCCCACCTCAAGAATAGGTTAACCAGTACATCCACTTTTTAAAACGCTACTGTATATACACACCCAAAACTACTACATACATATACAGGACATCAAAATGCTTATAGTTCAGCATCATAAGCCTTATACACACCTCACTGGGCTTTACAAGGGCATCCTACTGTATGTTTTCACTACAGTATAAGTCATTCTTGAGTTCAAATAGGTAAAAGGCAAACAGTGACACTGGGTGGGCTATTGGGCACAGCAGCCAGAACTGATCTCTTCCCCGACCCCGTACCCTGCAGTTATAGCAACAAAGAACTTTAATTCTCTTTACGAAAGGGACGCAAGTATAGTACAATCACTGGCGGATTCGACAGAGACATTCTGAACTCTTCTACAGGCATACCTCATTTAACAAAGCCTCCGACAAAGAACCCCCCTTTTTACAAAGTCTTTCTATGCTTCCCCAGCCCCATCTCCTTCTTTGTCCTCTGTCTAGCTGGAGGATGTTTTAAAGTAAGTATCAGCACTGGGAGGATAAAGGAGGATAGAAGAAACACAGACTTCCAGTGTTAAGATGCAGCACTGTGTCTGCAGTAAACAATGCGTCAAGGTTTGAGGGGGAAGGAATGGGATTTAGTTCTAGTTGATCCTACCTGTTTACAACAGGCAAGGAAATCAGCATCCATGGATAGAAAAACAGAAGAGCAGAAAGCACACAAGCCTGCCTCGCCAGCTACTCTCAGCATGTTAAAGAATCACTTTGGCCACTTCAGTGGAAATTGTAAGAATAGTGGAAGCTGGTGAAAGACAAAAGATATCCCTAGATGCATTTTGGAAGAAACCTTCAAGTCGTTTCCATAGGGTTTGAAATGCTTTTGCTTACTTCTACGTATAAGGCCAGCCTATGGCCATACCACCCTGAACACGCCCGATCTCGTCTGATCTCGGATGTATAAGGCCTACCTTGTCTTGGTATTTTCATTTTATACATACATGTTAGTTCTGGATTTCTTGAACTGTATTTTTTATGTGGTGAAGGAACCTATTCCCTATTCTTTCCATGTTATTTCTACTTCGGGCATCCATTTCGTTTTCCTTTCTTTCTTTGTTAAAGAAGTAATGCCCAAGAACATATCTACTTCATTAACTGAGGTATACCTGTATTTCTCCTAGGAAGGATAAAATTCATTTATTACTTAGTTATTGTTAATTTTTTTTGGAGAACTTCCCTTATTACTATTCTTATTTTTTAAATACCTTGTTCTCTACCAAACAAGGAAGTACAGACTTTAAATCTCACTTTGGTTCTGGTGGCCTTTTGCACAAAGCTGCTTCCTTGGAGTCACAAGAGGCAGCTCAATGGACCCAGGCACTCTTTTCTTCAGTTTATTTGCTGCTGAAAGCTACTGTGTGCGCACAGGAGCGAGGTGTGAATATGGCTTTGTACACACTCTGGAATGTTTGTACTATACTTACTTGGCTGAAATGAGTGGTATACAACTGGATTACAAGGTGTATGTAGAAAACTGAATAAAAAGTCATGCCAAATATTAGGCAAGATACACGTTACCTGCTTCTGTTATAAAAAAGAGAAAGAGAGAGTGTGTCTGTGTGCACTGACACATAAACACACACACACACACAGAGCTACCAATCTATTGGCTGAATGAAGTCACTCCAGCAACATCCTTGGAACCACAGCCATTTAAATAATCAGATCATGCAAATATAATTTTGGGCACATTAGAAAGCAGAAATATAAAAATCCTTTTAAACTTTTCAAGCGCATGGATTTTGATCAGGACTCTTTTTTAAAGGAGACTTTGCACATGCATTTGAATAAAAATGGGAATACAAATGAGCTCTGAACAATATCCTACTGAATTACAATAGTGTGATGGGGACAAAGCAACCACTTACTGTATAGTAAAATACACAGATGAGCCATTATATATTATACCATTTTCTATACTCATACCAATATTGTTCATGTTTTTCAATATTACTATTAAATATTGACCACTTAACCACTCTTCTCCTTTTAAATTCTGATCTGAGCAACAACCTCACAGGTAACTTTTTTTCTTTGTGTAAGATTTCCCAAGCACTACCTGAGGATTTATTATTGTACTTTTAGAAAGCCCTTAATGCAAATGTAGCCTTTTATTATTATTTTCAATTCAATCCCTCATCTCTTCCTCTTTCCTAAAGACCCTTAATCAACACCGCACTGGTTCAAGTAAAAAAAGCCATAAAGTTTGTGAGGGTGGTAGAGAACAAAAATAAAGAAAGCGAAAAGTCTATTACTCTCATCTTTTTTAAAAAAAAAGCAGATGGTACTTAAGTGCTACATAAGGGGAATTCAAGAATTTGCAAAACAGTCATCAGTTGCACTGTACTCATACTTTTACTTTGAAAAAGTTACAACTTCAGTGAATACATTTGTCCTGTTCTTTGCACCATGCTCATAACATGAGGGGTCTGAAAAAATCAGTTTACTACCTTAGTCATGTCAACACTTAACTAAAACTAATACAAAACACCGGATTGGCCATTTTTTAAAATCCTGCTCTTAGAAGATATGTTCAGTTATACCTGGCTATTCCAAGGTCATATATTTATTATACAATCCTATGCATATCTAATGCAGAAGTAAACCTCAATGAGTCCAATGGAGCTTAATTTTAAGTCTGAGATTGCAGCCTAACATCTAGAAACTGAACAGCAATATTTTAAGACAAGTTTAAAATCTTTATTCTTTTTTTTTTAACAGCCAACTCCGTCCTTCCTAGGGATCACCAACATAGTTGTTTGTCTCTTGCAAAAGATTAGCTGATCTGACGTGCCAGGCCTATTGGAATTTCCTTTCAAAGAAAGCTGCTCTCTCACCAGCCCCCTGTGATGCAATGGGTTAAACCCTTTTGTCTGCAGGATTGAAGATCGACAGGTCGGAGGTTCAAATCTGGGGGGGAGAGCGCAATGAGCTCCCTCTGTCAGCTCCAGCTCCCCATGCGGGGACATGAGAGAAGCCTCCCACAAGGATGGTAAAACATCAAAGCATCCGGGCGTCCCCTAGGCAACATCCTTGCAGACGGCCAATTCTCTCACACCAGAAGCGATTTGCAGTTTCTCAAGTTGCTCCTGACACACACACACACACACACAAACAATCCAAAAAACTAGCTACTTGAGATTTATAAAGAACTATTCCCAAGGCCCTGTGTAATAAGGAGTTAAATTATCCTCACTGTAATCATTATTATTTCCAAACTGCTTCTGTTTTGAAAACAAGACCCAGTCTTCACAGACATGGTAAGTCTGGAGTGAAACTGATTTAACATTCCAAATGATGAACCTTAGAAACCGGTCCTTTTCTCAAGCGACCATCTAAAGCGATTTGTAAACGCTGGTGGACAAATGTCGATTGCATTTCTGTTCTTCTCATTCCAAAGAACAGCAAATTATTTTGGAAAGGACATGGAGTATGGCAATAGGCATGCAAACACAAACAGAGTGCAACAGAAGACCTGAAATAGGTGGTGGGTGAGCGAGCTGGGAAGCAATACAGTTCATTTCAACTAAATAAAAGGAAAAAAAATGGTTGACCTGTTGGGATGCCCTGAGCGATAGCAGGTACCCATTGTAACAAACATGTAATGAAAGCAAGAATACATCTGAAAAAGATAAAAATATATCCCATATTACTTGCACTACCAAAAATACTCATGTAAGCCAAGTTTTTGGTTTTTTTTTTGGGGGGGAGGGGAAGATGCTACTATATAATCTCCATTCATTCATTGCTTCTCCCGAGCAATTGCCAATTTGAGTAACAGAGGTTATACAGAAGTGGTTCTTTAGAGACTGAGCCCTCAGTCTGTAAAAGGCATGCAGTAAAGAGTCTCCCTTTTCAAAAGGAGCTGTACATTCTTTTCTATTGGAGTAACGTGGGGGTGTATAGTGGTGTTTGAAGGAACCCAATCATTTATTCTCTTCCACACTGTTGGAGAATACAAGCAATTTTCACTTGTGCCTAATTATGTTTTTTTTTTTACTGAAAAACAACCAAAAGAACAGAAACTGGCTTTAAAAGACTAAAAAACAACAATGTGTTGTAAACTCTTATTATTCCATTAAAAAATAAGGAAAAATAATGAAAGTAACACAAGACTTATTTGGCATATTCTCTGCTTACTCCTGAATATCTTAAGGCCCTGAGATTAGAATATTATGTTCTTGGGACCATAGGGCTGCAAAATTAAACCCTAGTGCATCAACTTTCTCTTTAAGCCCTAACCATAGTTCCAGCTTCTCAATTTTTAAGATACACTTCCACCGGGACAAGGCTCAGCTGCCCCTCCGCCTTTAGCTTTCTTTTTACCGAAACAAACACCGATGATGGTAACTGGTGTTTTGGTCATCCTTGGCATGTCCATCAATGAAAACATACCCTGTAACAGAGGTATGCCCCTGCTGTCAGGACGGTAAACATGCAGATGTTGACCAGAAATGGTTTCCAAGTTGGCATCATGTTTTCATCGTCCTCTTCTTCTGGCTTCATGATCTCTTCACTGTGCGGTGAATTGTCAACAGTTCTCTTCCTAAGCTCAGTTTCTTGATTAGTGCTGAAAAATAAGAAAAATAAATATATTTGAATTGGAGAATTTCTTGACACTTGAGCCACTTTAGCACATGCGTAACACAGATGGTAAGCTGGAAAGGGGCACAGTAGGAAGCCCATGACTACATGCAAGAGGGTACTGCGGGCAGGATGGTCATACCTTGTAAACAACAAATAGACATGTTTTCCAAATCCTAATGTACTTTTTTATGATTGTGTCTGTAGCAAGGTGGTGCTAAATTTCACTCTAGTCAACAGACACATAATATATTATTCCAGTGGAACTCTATCCATTACAGCTGGTACCTGTGGGTGCCAGTCTGTCCACTGACATTTCCCTTGGCACCCATCATGATCTCCTGCTCCTCTATTTTTTAATCTCTCTAGTTTTTCAAGTATGGGTGGCTGCAGCTGTTCACCACTTCCTTTATTCCATATGTCTTCAGGCCCTAAGCATGGCTGGAGGCATATGAAATGAAGATGGCACTCACTGCTGGCCAGGAGCTTCACCATTGTTTTTTAAAACAATAGAGGGAAAGAAGCCTGCTCACTAAAATGTTGGGAATAATAATTATAACAACACAATGCAACACGATTTTTGACCTGGCTTATGAATGTCCTTTCCTAATTGGTTCTATAAAATTTCCTAATTGGTGTCCATAAAAACATCGAAAAGGTTCATTAAACTGTAAAAACTTTGTTTTGAAAGGTTTTAAATGGCACATTTTTATTAAGGAAAATATAACTACTTTCAAAGTAAGTACCACACAATTAAACAGGAAATAACACTTTCAAACCAGGAACGTATTTTTTTTCAAGTTTTGTTGCATAGTGTAATAATAATATATTTATTAACATGGTTAAAACAAGATAAAATAGAACATTATTAAAATACCTATTACAAATATAAACAAATAAAATGCAGATTAAAATTACTGATAAAATGCAGGTTGAAATTCACAAGTTAACATTGTCTGGATAGGCTTGCCAGAGGAGATAGGTCTTAAATTTCAACAGCTGACTGAGCTGTCGGAGATCTTCTGGCAGGTCATTCCACAGTCTCGGGGCTCTGAAATCAGTGCTAGAAACAATTCATGGTGTGGATTCAGAGTTGGTACTAAGTCCAACTTTGGCTTCAAAATAAAAACATACTCTCCTACAACAGCACAGGGTTAATATAGTACGACCCACATATCTGCAGGGGATGCATTTTTATCATGGAAAGAGTAAACCATGGATAATAGTGAACCCTACTGAAATGAACAGAGTTGCTGGAAATTATCACATAGTTGCCCTGTGGACTCGGAGAGATATGCTCTGTAGGAATTTGCTTGATCCTCCAGGGTGCCTCGATAATGGAAGCATATCATAGAATTGCCTGGATAATCTAGAAAATTCCTAAAGAGAATATATTTTGTCAGAAGTGAGTAGGTGAAACTACAGGTAATGGCCCCCAGGTAGCCTGATGATTCAAATGGTGATGATGATAAAATGTTTTATGGCACGATTTTAGTACAGTACATTTTTTTTACTAATTGATATACAATTGCCATTTATAAAGACATCAAAGTTGAATTGGGAGAACTGTGGGGAAACATGGGGAGGTGAGAGCTTATACAGGGATGCATAGTTATCTGGGAATTGGGAGCGGCAAGGGGAGTAGACTGCATGGTAGAAAAGGAGGAATGTCAGTATGTTTAGGATGAACAGGATGCATGACAACATACCTGCAAATCAATGCACAGTCTAAAAGATACAGGAAATGAGAGTTTAAAAAGGAGTGGGGAATTTTAAAACTTACTTACTTACTATAGCATCTGACTTTTGTATCAAGGAGGATATTTCTGTGCCCTTTAAAACAGGGAGTTGTATAGCTCACCCTGTATGTTATTGAACTGCAACTCCCAACATTCTAACACATTGGTTATGCTTTCTAAGACTGATGGGACTTGCAGCCCACAAGCATAAGGAGCTGGAATGTTGCCCATTCCTGAACTAAAAGATTTTTAGGACTGATACAAGAGCAAGTGATTCACAACCATGTCAAACATAAATGCTGTATGTTATTGATATTGTTATTGTTTATTGCTTATTGTGCATTTTCTGTTTTTGAGTTTATTTTAACTGTTTTGTATTGACTATTTGTTATCACCTTTGTTTATTGATGTGCTGTGGGCTTGGCCTCATCTAAGCTGCACTGAGTCCCTTGGGGAGATGGTAGCGGGGTACAAATAAAGTTTTATTATTATTATTATTATTTTTATTTATTTATTTATTTATTATTAAACATTCCTTGGGGTTTTAGCACTGCATGTATTTTCACGCATAGATTTTAAAAAGTTTTAAAAAGTAGTCTCCTGCTGGCTACAAGCTTCATATACAGTCATGAAGCAGCAGTGACCTCTAGTGTGCAGAGATGAACTTTGTTTCCCACACATGCTTTGCATAACTTTGTTCCGCTTCTGCAGCTTTTAGTTTCAATTACTTGGAATGAAAGGTAACCAGCCCTTCCAAAAGAGAGATAAAATCTTATATTGATGTTAGCTTCCTCTCAAGGAGTGGGAAATCATTTCATTATCTCTAAACTTCCATGAAAGACATGACCCACTTCTCGTTGAGTTGCAACAGGCTTTAAGAAACCAAGGGTGGGAATGTGAAATATGCTTAGTTCTGTAATTTTTTAAAAGAAACTTATTTCTTCTCAGAGAAGGACCACGGGACTACATCAGATTCATAGTTCAACCCTGACAAGGTTTTGGTTCCACAAAGAATATTTCAGTTCCACTGGGAAACTGACTTCTTTCATTTTCATCAAGTGTAAAGATCAAGTAAAACACTGAGCCTACAATCCTGCTATACTTCTGCACTGAACTTTTTACATGGTTACAGGCACAGGGGAAGACAGGCAAAGGTACTCTTGGAAAAAGAAGCCAGCTTGTTTGGAGCAGCCTATTCTCTAATGTCTGGATTTTGGATGGGTCCTTGGAGCTAGGGCGTTCTGGGAAAGCTACAGTAGAAGATTCCCTTTTTAAAAAGGGAACAGGAAAATTTGAAGAACATCTGATGAAACATGTGTGTGCACAAACACAAGAGACATAGCATACCTCAGAATGTTAAAAAGATTTTGATGTATTTTATTTTCTTTTTTTGGGTGTGTGTGTGTGTGTGTGTGAAATGTATGCACCCAATCCAATTCTTTCCATGTTATTATGCCTCTTGCACAAAAGTTACAGTTAAAGAAGTAATGCCCATGAGATATATCTGCACTTATATAGACCCTCTTTAAAACTATTCCACGACTGAGACACATGAAGCTTCTGAGCATCAACTACTGCTTTAGATTGAGTTGGGCAAAATGCAATCCACACATTGACTTTGGAACCCATAAATGGAGCCCTTGGGGTGCTGAAAAAGACCCCTCCAACCCCAAGTCCCAGATACTGTCTTTAAAATGGAAACTGGTTTTCAGGCACTTTTACACTCTCCTCTCAACTCTTTGAAGTCTTCCAAACTTCTTCAAAGCAGCAGAAAGAGAGAAAAATTAATTAATTAAATCCCGCTTTTTTCTACCCTAAGGAGGATTCAAGATGGCTTACAAATGACACCTACACAGTGCCTCAAAACATACAATATTCACTTTAAAATGATTTAGATTAAAATTACTAACATAATAAACATGATTAAAATATATTCAAGGTTAATTGAATGTATTTCCAAAATTGGCCAAAAAGGTGGCCAGAAGTGACATGATGTTACTTTGGGAATGCTGAAACTCGCTTGTGTGCCTTGCCAGAAAGGTGCTGGGAGGTAAAATTGCCCCCATCCACCATTGCTTGAGATTTTAAGGGGAACTCCTTCATCTTTCATGAGTTTTTAAGAGCAATATTCCAAAAACCATCTCGTTCTAGGGATACACCCAACACAAGGCACTGAATACAAAGGCTGCTCAGAAGAAACAACCTCCTTGTCCTGATGACAATGAAACATCTTTACCTACCCTCCCTTGTAACTACTGCAGCAACTTCATTTGTCACTACTAACAAGATCTCAACTTTTGAGTATGTATATTTAAACCGCAAGACACAGCAACACCTTACAACATCTGTGCAAACTGACTCGATTTCCAAGAATGGTGTGAGCATGTACTGATTTTCAAAACATTTTGAAAATATGTTCAATAAGACCTTCAGATTTGGGCAAGTGGTTTCTCCACTGTTGGTTCCATTTAAAACATTAGGGTTCAATAATATTCATAGTTTCACGTATCGGGAATGGTTCTGTTGCAGATACGGAGGTCATAGTGTATAAATTTATAATTTTTAGGAGGAGATGAATTAGAAAATGCTGTCATATAACATAGATTGCTCAATTTCCTATTCTTTTACTTAGATGGATTGCCTATAGTTTAGAGCCAACAATAATAATTAATTTGCCCTAAATTAACTCTTTATTTGAAGATAGCTCTCTTTCTGGATTTTTTTTTTCACAGCAGAGAAGTCAAGAAAAATGCACACAATGGGGCCTATTTTTTTTTTACTTTTCTTCTCAGCCTTTACATTTTATTCTTTGGTTAGCAAAGTTTTAGGGTAGCATGAGGCAGCCAAGACTGACTTTGTGGTCCAAACTTCTCCTTCTCCCTGTTTTTGAAAAAAAAATTGACTTCCCCCTCTTGACATGATCAGGAAAAGGTACTAACTGTTAATTAGATTACAGCTCTCCCTTCCTAATGCAGTTTGATGTCAAAACATACTTGCTTTTTAAAACCAGGACTGGTAACACAGTTTTTTTTGCAGACCATGTGGCCCTAATATTTTTTTTAGTCCAGTTTTATGTGACATATGAAATAGCATACTATCCTTATACTATCCTTATTATGTTCTATGCTTTAGTAAAAATATTAGAAAAGAAAACAAAGGAACCAATTTTGTCAAAGAATGCTACACAACCAAGTCAAGCTGTTGGCTTCATGGTGGCAGAGTATCTGCTACCCATATCCCAAAACAATGCATGCCAATGTTACCTCTCCAGGTTGAGTTGCTCAGGGGGGCACATCCTGCCATCAGGGACCTTCTCCTCCAGCGTGCTGACTGCGCATATGATTTTGTCCTCGACCACTGGGAAAAACTCTATGTGGTCATGCACCCTTCCATTATTCATTTCTAAGGTTCGTTTGGGTGGCCTTGGTGGTGGCGGAGTATGTTCTGGCGGTGGGTCCAAGTCTTCATTGGAGAGCTCTTTCCATTGCTCCTTCAAAAGAACAGAAACTCATTAACTTTCACCAAGACAACAAACAGACTTTTCCTTATCACACACCCACTTTTGTTTGCTTTTTTGAATCAGGAATTTCCTGGACTATTCATAGGTTGACATTTAAGAGGAAGAATTACAAGAGTGTATTGTCCGTACTGTAAACTGTTTTGATAACTATAGAAAGGTATACATGTAGCAACCGTGTGCCACTTGGTAGGCATATCTTTCCTACTTATTCCTTCTTGCTAAAAGACACAGAAAGAAGTGGGTAGACTAGCTAAGTACCAAGTCAGTGGTCAAATATCTTACTGGTTCAGGATACAATAGCAATATAACCTAGGGTAGCAAACCCAATGGTATCCTGGAACCTGGCTTATGCTGTTGTTTGCAGAAGTATAATAGGTGGCCCACCTATTTGTAGTGCGTTTTATCACCATTGGATCTCTTACACTTTTTGATTTTCCACAAAAATATAAGCCAATTCCCAAATGGCTTCTAAAATGTAAGACAATCTATGACGTATTTGGTATGGTGTCGGTAATACTCACCTGTATAGATGAGTCTCCCATAATAAATTTTGCTCCCTCTATAACAGCCAAGTAAGAGAAACGAAGTTGGTCTGCAGTCTGGATAAGCCCCATTCGGTATTTTCTCATTTCTAAAAGGACCTGCTTGATGTCGACAGAAGAAGGATCTTGCCTTTTGTCCATCTGAATAGAGAAAGAGGAAAGCCTGTGCTTTCATTTTGATTTATTTTGTGCATTGCCCAGCTCAAAAAAAAATGCAGGGGATCTGACAGAATGACATCTCATAGAGTGTTTAAATGCAGTGGCAAGAACCCATTTAGCCACTTCAAAATGTGTAACCATTGTAGTTGGAGAGATTACACTGTGACTCCAGTCCCAAACACAGCTCCCTAATTCCACTTATCAGGAAACAACTCAATGGAGACCTGTTTCCCCATGCCACCCTCTTCTATGAGCAATCTCCTTGCACTGCAGCTACTGCTGCCCAGGAAGCAATATTCAAGGGAAGGGAGCAGAATTTGCCAAATAAGTAATAATAATCACTCAAAAAGCAGTAATTATGAGAACTCAACATAAAGTAGAAATAACGTCGCCCCCGCCCCCCGCACACAAATAAACAATCATAAACTGCACTTAACAAACTTTCAAGCATCCACATGAGCTTGAATACAATACAATTTACTACTTACAAAACATCTGGGAAATACTTTTACCATTGTAGCTGTCATCTAAAACCAACAAGATTTGGGTTGTTTGATCTCTAAGCAAAACGTATCACATTTATTTGCAATGTTAAATATTCCTGGGCACTCACTAGAGCTCATATCTATGCAGGTATGTGCCCTCAAGTTCCCTGTCAATTTATGGTGACCCATAGGGCTTTCCCAATGTGGTTTTGCAAGTTCCTTCATCTGAAATATAACCTAAAGTATCTGGTATTAGTTAGCAGTCTTCCAGAAAATTACTAAATAAAGTACTAAGCAGGGTTGACCCTACTGAGCTTCCAAGATCAGACAGGATCTGGTGCCTTTGCATTTTAGTATGTCTCACAACATATTGCCTGAGCATACCAAACTTTGCTAAATCCACAGTGCCAACATGTCGAACTTTTACTGCTAATCATATTTGATCGTTGGGTTGGATTCGTGTGAGGATGGTATGCTCACATGTGGTGGGAATGCCCAAAGGCAAAAACCCTTTGAGAACAAATAACAAAAAAAAATGGATAAATGATTTAAAATGCCACTTCAAGTAAATATGGAGCTGATGTTGATGGGAATACTAGAAAACAATAACATCAATGTAAAAAATATATCAAGATTTATTCAAAGTGATGATTCTTACAGAAAAGGAGGTAATAGCATGAGGTTGGAAAGATGAAAAAAATGGAATATGGTAAATTGGAACAATTACTTGTTTGATCAGGTCCAATCAGATATTATAGCAAGTGTAACCGTGAGGATAAAGAAGGAAGTTAAAATGAGAAAAACTAAAGAGAAATGGTTGATATATACATAATGGATAAATAGTGGTGAAGCTAATGTAAGTATTGTACAGAGATGGGGAAGGCAGAGCTCATGGATAAAGTTAAAGTTCTAGTGGAAATTTTGGTATGGATTTTGGTGGGGGGAGATGGGGTGGAGAGAAAAAAAGAGTGAACAGAACTAAAATATATAAGTGAGTGGATAATATAGAATGGAGAGGAAGAGTGAGAAATAGGAAGAGGGCAGAGAAATGGGTTTATAGATAAATAATGTGTATGAAATAAATGTACAAAATCTACTCGTAAAACAAAATATAATATTAATAAAAATATTTTTAAAACATATTGCCTGAGAAGCTAAAAAGGAATGTGTAGTCCCTTTGAGAGTGAGAAAAAGTAATTTAACCATAAGCTTTTTTCATTAACTAATACTTTTTTCATTGACTCCTTTACATCTTTTTATGCTGAAACAGACTGAAATTGCTATGGCTTTGAATATAACCGATTGCCTAGTTTCACAGCACAATGAAGTCTATTATTCGGCAGAATGAGAAGGCTGCCTCAGGCAGTAGGTACATGGAAGGGCAGTAAGTTGTGTGACATACAGCAGCATGTTCCCACTAACATAAGTGTTTTGGCTTAGGTGTGGTAGAAATGATTGTCTCACTGCCAACATTAAATTAGGATTCAACTGCCAGCACAGTGAGCTTCAGAAAATGGAAGAAGACAGGTGCCATCTTGTCCTCTTTAGCAAACAAAATATCTTCAACCAGCCTTGTTTCTCAACAATGTCAACAAAATTTAGATAACTGTATTGTAAACTTTAAACCAGTGGTTCTCAACCTATTTTTGACCAGGGAGCACTTGAACAGGGACCACGTTGACAAGGGACCACTTTCCAACATTACTACCAAAAGAGTTACAAATCGGTTTTTGGGCAACTTTAGATTTGGTTTGGTTATTTGAGGTGCTGATTCAGAAAACTGCATTGGATAGACTACATCAGCTCTAGCTTCTGATACTTCTGATACAGAACATATGCCATCCAGTGGTCGTCATCTGTTCACCCACAGAAAAACATATTTAATAAGCCTCAGCACTATAAGAGGGTTTCACGAGACCAGTTGCTCTCATTGCAACGGTGTAGGAACGGTGAGGCCATGGACCATATTTTAGTTCTTGCGGACCACTGGTGGTCCATAGACCACAGGTTGGGAACCACTGCTTTAAACAATCAAACATACAAAATCATGTGCCAAAGCAGATAACATTTTGAGAAAAAGTCCAATACAATTCTGCAGTGTTTATAGATTTGCATATATTTGCTACTTTGCACAATCTACTATCTTCCTGAAAGTTCTTTTGTTCTTTTCTCTGGCTTTGCAGAACATCTCAGCATCTTAAATTTTTGCTGAGGTTCAAACACAGAAAAAATAACACACAGAAAAAAAACCCCTCTGAGTACCTGAAAATATAGAGATCCAAATTCCAAGTTTTTAAACATGCAGAATAAAAAACGTAGTGACTAGTTTAAGATACATACTGTGGTCAATCAATATCACTGTCCTAAAATGAATATATGGTTGCAATCCTAAACATATTTACATAGAGTAACTCCTACTGTGTTCAAGTAAGCATACATAGGATTTTATTGTTAAGTTCTCGGGGTCAGGACACAAGTTTTCTTGAAAGCAGAAGGATTCATTTCTAAGAAAATGTACTTAGAGCTTGGATGTAAGAGACAGAAGAACACAATGTGAGTCTCCCTGGAGTTCTATCTGGATAGAAAGCAAATTTGGAAAAGTCCGTGATTTACAGACAGTGGCTCAAATATGACTGCAATAAATCTGAAAATAATTACTTAGAATTAAAAGGATAAAGCTAGCCATAGCCATAGTTCCACTAACAACAAAAAAAGAACACATATATTGCAACAAGAGAGAGCAAGGGTGGGGAAAGAGTGGGTGGCTGCTTTGGACTAACAGAAGACAGACTTCACTGAAAATGGGGTTTGCTCTAAGCTTTGAAGTGGAAATTTGTCTGCAGATCTCAAAAGACTTGTCATGAGGATTTAAGTTCAATAGGTTTTTTGTGCTTCTCTTTTTTATGCTTCCCACCCATCAACCACTTTTGAATGTGAAGATTCAGAAGAAATGCGTGGTCATGTCTATAGTGGTGTGCCCACACTACACATCAGTTCAAGCATCTCTGCAGTACTTTTGTTCCTCGCTCCAAAGAAGGTTGAAAATGGGCTGTGCTAAAGGAGAATCCAGACAACATGGAAATAGCATGAGATAATCATTTCAGGGTGCACATGTTGGCATGCAAGGGGCTATGTCAGAGGGCTGAGCTCTGTGTGCCACCCAATCCGTCTCAAGCCCCTTAAATTAGACTGGTGCATCAAATGTAGCAATGGATGTCATCCCACTACAAATAGGTTTGTGTCGGTTGCACATAAGTCTATACAGGGGACAGCAAAGGGTATCACTTTTCTCTTTGTGTCAAGAAGCAAAATGTTTTGGGCTGGCCCTCTCTCAAAGACATGTCCAAAACTCCCTCCATACAAAGGGCTTGCCAGCATCCAACTTCAGTCAAGCCAGCATTGTAACTACACAAAACAAAATGGATGCAAACAGTCCTTATAAGCCAGAAGTGGAGACATATGCAATTATGTTTATACAGCTTGAGACTCCCAGATCTGAAATTCCTAAACCTAAAATACTCCAAAATTGTCCACATGGATGGCTGAGATGGTAACACCATTGCTTTTGATGGCTCAATGTACACATACTTTGTTTCGTGCACAAAATTATTAAAAATATTGTGCATAAAATTACTTTCAGGTCATGTGTAAATGGAAGTATTGAGGAAGTTTGTGTTTAGACTTGCTCCCATCTCTGAGATACCTCAGTTTATTCAAATACAGATATTCCAAAATATCAATTTTTTTCCAAAATCCAAAACCCTTCTGCTCCCAAGCATCCCAGATACTCAATCTGCACAAGCAAATGTGCATCTAGAGTCTTGGTCCTGTTCTTGTAGTTGCAACAATCCTTCTTTATCTATCAGATGGATAAAATTCTTTTCACTTGGGATAGGTTTCTGATATTGATTCCAAGCAGCTAAATTCCACACAAAATGAAAATCTACAAGTTGTTCTTACCAGGAGGAGACAAGTATCAACCAGACAGAATGTCCCCGATCTTCCAATTCCTGCACTGCAATGCACTACAATGGGTCCATGTTCAGGGCTTAATGACCCTGACTCTCTCACTTTGAACAGGAAGTTGAGGAATGAAGCTGGAGATTCAGGGACTCCAAAATCAGGCCACGTTGTATAATGAAAGTGCAGAATCTCTCGTGTTTCCCGGGTCTGTGTAATAAAAAAAAGAAAAGAAATGTTATCTTCATGTGTGGTTTCATAATGCATTAACCATGTTGAGATAGTTGGTTAATGCAATATTATTTCTCTGATTAGGACATTGACATTTAATGTATTTTTTAGAAAACAACACACACACACACAAAGTTTGCAAACTTGGTATTCTATTAAATGTCCTTTGACCAATAGCTGGCCACTTGGAGTGCCTCTGGTGTTGCTCTAAAAGGTCCTCCGTTGTGCATGTGGCGGGTCTCAGGTTGCATTGTAATAGGTGGTCTGTGGTTTGCTCTTCACACTCGCATGTCGTGGACTCCACTTTGTAGCTCCATTTCTTAAGGTTGGCTCTGCATCTCATGGTGCCAGAGAGCAGCCTTCCAAGTCGCCCAGCTTTGTCTGCCCAGGAGGAAGTATCTCATTTAATATCAGCCATAGATAAAGTTTCTGGGTTTTAGCCTGCCACTTTTGGATTCTTGCTTGCTGAGGTGTTCCCGTGAGTGTCTCTGAAGATCTTAGAAAACTATTTCTTGATTTAAGTTGCTGGCGTGCTGGCTGATATCCAAACAGGGGGTGGCCGGGGATGTCACTGCCTTGGACCTTTCACTATTGGTTGCTATTTCCCGGTGGAATAAGCCAAAATAAGGCACCTAATTTTACCACAAAAAGCTGTAAAAGCTTTTTTTGTGGTAAAATTATGTGCCTTATTTTCAGCTTATACTTGAGTATATACGGTAATTTGCAGGATGTAAGGAGGAAGAAATATGTTAAACTACAGAGAAACCAACAAAAAGGACAGCAGGAAATCCTCCTTTAAAACAGACTTATACATGTATGTTTGCCTTTTAAAGTTACATATAATTTGAGTAGAAATGTATGCTGGTAGGAGAAATTGTGTAATTGCTTATGCAGTTGTTGTTCAAGTATGTTTATATGTATATATGCATAAGTATTATTGTTTTCTTTGTGTTTTTTTTTCTGTTACACATTTGAATAAGAACTAAAAAAAGGACATTTCTTCACGGCAGGGCATTCTACAAGTTTATCTGCACATGTTCCAAAGTGAGGACTTCCACGCAGCATTTTAAGCAATATTCTGGGAACTTCTGTTATGATTTGCAATGTTCTAGAGAGTATGTTAATGCTGAACATGAGCAATTGTTATTCCCATGATAAAATTACTCAGAAAAACCAGCAGTGGGTAAGGAAGGACATCTTGCTGTTTTCCCCACTTCAAACATGACAACATACATTTATAGGCTCTTCTCATAGTGGGAAGAGTGACAAGACATTGGATTTTTAAAAACCTGCTTTTATTATTAATGACAAATGGGATGATCAATAGGGATGGTCAGCAGTTGCCACACAGCTGCCAAGATTCATGTGGAAAAACTGGGAGCTCAGCAAAATACTAAGAAGTTTCCAATCCTCAAAGCTGCAAAGACGCCTGTGAGAGATGGAAGGATGTACTAAAATATGTTGCCCATGGCTAAGAACTACAATGCCCAACTAAACAGACTTGGATACTTATCAGATTAAGGTCATTAGAGCAGCCACAGGGAATAAGAAAGAACATTTGTTCCTTAGGTAATGCTGCTGTACTATGGAACCATGGCAACTTGCAATGCATCCCAGCAAGATTTAGTCCTATACTACAGATGGAGAAGAAAACCCTAAGGGTGACATTTATCAGAGTTCAAGGTACTGTGTATTGAGGAAAGGAAACTACAATGCGGCTGGTGACCACTTTTGGGGTCCAAGTTAGAAGGCTGGTCTTTACATTTTTGTTAACTTTAAAGATTTTTGGGGGGTTTTCTTGCAGGTGACACTATTGAGGAAGACTGACCAATAGCAGAAATGTTTACTTTCAAATTTTATAACTGTTTTTACATTTCTCAGGAATGTGTCCCATATCTGGGAGAAAAGGAAAATATCAATCAATCAAATAAAGTACGTGTTAATAGTTTAAAGTGCCTCTAGATGCTTTGCAATTCACTTCAGTGGCAAGCCACAATATCATTTTCCTTTTCCAAAAACAAAAAATCAACAAACAAAGAAACAAGCAAAGAGAATTTCTGGGCAAGTGTGGGGTTTGAGAGGGCAAATATGTGGCCTTATGCATATATTAAGCACACTCCTGCATCACTTTTCTAAATCTCTTTGAGATCTAAATATAACAGTGTCCTGTGGCTACAGAACTGAAGAGTGCATACTCCAATCTCTTCCACTTGCAATGGTCTAAAGGCCTTGGGAAAGGATCCCTAGATGGCTTTATGGGAAAGGGAAGACTACCTGGTCCCATCCAGCAACCTGAGAAGGAGGAAATGTCAAAATGTTGCTTTCCTCCCTGAGCTACAAAAGAAATTCAGGCATATGTCACCAGCCAGAGGACTAAGATGGTACTTCAGCAAAGTTTGGGGGTGGAAGCAGGAGTTTATCATCTATTATGGGTTATTTGTAAGCCACCTTGAGAAATGATGCACAAATCTTCACTACAAGTAAGATCAAGCCAAAACCTTGTCAGAGACTATGAGGTCAAAGAATTTCAACTCTAGTTGAGGTTGAAATGTAAATAGTGTTGGTTCAGCGATTACTAGAAATAGATACCAGATATTGGATATGATCACCATATTAAAAAACATCCTTTTCTGAAAATGTTCTTTTTTGTGTTTAGAACCTAACAGATTTGTCATCTATGCAGTTGGAAAGATTATACTTAAAAGAAATAGCAATCCGTAAGTTTTTCTTCTCCTACAGTTTTGACTCATTCCTTAAGTCACGTTAGCTTTATGTACCTCCACTCTCTATGCTGAACAATAGTTTGAATTACAAGAATTAAGAGCCCATTTCCTCCTTGAACTTTAATTTTCTTCATAGAATGTAAATAGGCATTTTCATATATATATACGGGCCAAATACTGGCAATGAAGATCCGCATAGTTAAAGCAATGGTATTCCCCGTAGTAACCCATGGACGTGAGAGCTGGACCATAAGGAAGGCTGAGCGAAGGAAGATAGTGGTTTTGGAGGAAAATTTTGAGAGTGCCTTGGAACGCAAGAAGATAAACCAGTCCATACTTCAGGAAACAAAGTCCGACTGCTCATTGGCGGGAAGGATATTAGAGGCAAAGATGAAGTACTTTGGCCACATAGTGAGAAGAAGGAAAGCTTAGAGAAGACAACGATGCTGGGGAAAATGGAAGGAAAAAGGAAGAGGGGCCGACCAAGGGCAAGAGGAATGGATGGTATCATTGAAGTGACTGGCTTGGCTCTGAAGGAGTTGGGGTGGTGCCGGCTGACAGAGAGCTCTGGCGTGGGCTGGTCCATGAAGTCACGAGGATTCGGAGGTGACTGAACAAATAAACAACAAAATGATATATATGCTGGCCCAAAGCATAATGCAACAGACTATGGTGTGGCTTCAGGTTCTTGGTGTGAGGGTTGTTATTTTATTTCTACAACAGAAGCTTGGCATTTGGATGAACAAGAACAAAACAGAGGATTATATTTGGATTTACCTGCATATTTATATCTCCCTCATCAATATTAGACACACTATGACTACGAATAGGCTGTACTTGCAGTCTGCTCACGAGTGTGGCAACTAGTTAAATGTCAGACTTAAAAGAGGAGAGCATGGAGATATTTATTCTGAGATAAGACAAGACAGAAATGTAAATAAATGCATAGTCTCCAAATCCAGGCAATCAAGATCATCATCTTAGTACTGAGAAACTATTTAAGCAGGTACAGAGGAATCTATCATCTTAATAATAAAGACCACTGCAGCAAAACACAGTGTACTGAACTGAAATGAACAGAGGAATGATACCACTTGGTGACATGCACTTTCACATACTTACCGTGATGTTTTCCAATTCTAATTGTCGTACTGTATAATAGGATTTTATATCTTCTGATACCAAGGTTAATGTGAAGTTTGTGTCCTCAAAGAGCATTTCTTTTTCCTCTTTTTGTGGCCAGTACTGTGCACATTTTATCTAGAAGAAGGGAGAGGAAAAAAGTAATAATTGTGCACATTTTATCTAGAAGGGAGAGGAAATAAGCAATAATTGTGTACAAGCTGTTTGACAAAGAAAAAACACCACATTTTGAAAGCTATTTTATTTAAGTAATTGTTTATTGCCCCTCAATCCACCAGGGATCTTGAGCAATGTAGAACATATTTACATAGGATCATTAGCATTCATGTCACTTCAATAGCTTCAGAGGCAAAAAGATCAAACAGAAAAAGGAAGACCTCTTCTTCTGCCCTTTCTGTGTATTGTGTTCTCATGTAATTTACTAAACAGCTCAAAAAAAGACAGAAATAAAAATGGGACCACCAATTCCCACAGGCCTACAGTCTATAAGAAGAAACACGATAAACAAGGAAACAGGGTAGAGGAAGGAAATGGTGATTGTGAGTGTTTGAGCAGAAAGGCTGGATTTTAAATGTCACTGTACATTTATTTCTAATTTAATCTTGCAGAAGAATTTACCAAATGGATAAGAAATGAGAAAGGCATGTTCCCATTGAGTATCATCCATGAGTATGTTATGAAAATGATGGAGGGAGGGTGGCAGAAGTCAGTGTTGTTTACAAAGATCAACAATGGAAGCCACAGCGACTGGCATCCTGTTAGTGAAGGATACAAATACAAGTTCACTTTACTGCTCTATATGTCTCTTTTTGGTCATTCAAGAGGCTAGTATTATCTTCCGACCTCCGCAACTATCAAAATCCCCCAAGGATTCATCATTGTACTGTGATAGCTATGGTCATTCTGCTGCTGGAGGAGAAGAGGGAGGCTCAGACAAGGGTCTAGCTATGTTCCCGTCAACCAGACAAAAACTCCAGACTTCTAGAGCAGTGGTTCCCAACCTGTGGGTCCCCGGGTGTTTTGGCCTACAACTCCCAGAAATCCCAGCTAATTTACCAACTGTTAGGATTTCTGGGAGCTGAAGGCCAAAACAACTGGGGACCCGCAGACTGAGAACCAATATTCTAGAGGATCCCCACAGATCCTGCAGAAATGTCCTTGGTCTTTCTCTGGCTATGCCAACACACCCAGGCACTTTTTGCAATTCTCCTCTAAGCTCAATTTCCCAGTAGCAATAGGGTGACCATACATGGTGGGCTGTGACACTGTTAAAGCAAGTCCTAGAGCACCATAGATGGTTTCTGCATGCAGAACTTTTATGCCACCCTCAACTGTGTAAGATCTAAGACAGCAGGGCTGAAAACACCGCAATAATAGAACACGTATTTTGTATGTAGAAAATCTTGGGCGCATTATGCAACATCTCCACTTGAAATAATCTCAGGTGTCAGGATTGGAAATAACTTCTGCTGGACATCCTGGTGGCCGGCTCTCCACATAGTGTAGCTTTGTGTGTGCACGGAGCCGCCCATCATTGGTCATTTCCGCCATAATTTGCAAAATGAGGAGAAATCCTAGTGATTATCTGTTTAAGTCACTGTACCTCACACAAATTAAATTTCTGGAATCTCAAATGCTATTAACTGGAAGTAGATACTGGGTTTCTGGAATCATTCTCGGATTGCACAACATGACAGATAAAGCAACATCATTTAGGCAAAAATGACAACCCTAACAAGCCAATGTGATTACCTAATGATTTCTGGGACACTATTTTGATAACTGCTAGAAGTTTAGAGGCACAAATCTCTTAGCCTTTAATTCGGTATCAAGAGACAGAGGTTCAATTGAATTGTGCAGCTCACCTCATCCCCTCCTCAAAACATCTCAGGCTTATGAGATCATTTTGACAGCATATGGGATAGCTTAAAAGCTTCAATGGTTTATTCTAACTGAAAATGAAGTCTGAGCATTTCAGTTACCTAAACTCTGGCCTAATCATGGTAATTTTCTCAGCAATAATTTTCCAGGAAATCCAAGATCATTAGAATGCTGTATGCGATGAACTTGAATATATCCAATTCTTAGAAATGAGTAATAGGAGGTAATACAGAATTATTAAATCTGCAGTTCTGATAGCCCAAGAGCACAGGCTTGCCGAGAATGCTGTCAAAACAGTTTCTCTGGCTAGGAAATCATAAAGGAGTGATACTTGAAGAGATAGTCAACACTTACTGTTCATGGATTTTTAGTGTTCCATTTTCAATATAATAGGTTTATTCTTTCATTCTGCTTTTTCCATTATTGGAAAGGCACAAAAGGATTGTTACATACTTTTAAGGGCTGATCAAAAGGCATCAATCACGAGAGGGTGACACCGGGGACGTTTTATACAACAGTGAGTCACAAAAAAAGTCTCAGGAAGTAATTAGCAACCCACACTTTATTGAGCGAAAATGAAGTAATCCCATGTAGGATCTTTCAATAGCTCTCTTCCTCCAACTCCTGAACATTAACACTCAGTTGGGTACAGTACTAAATTATAGCCCACTGTGCCTTTAGTTTTAATTTCAACTTGCAAAAGAATTCACCAAATGGCTAAGAAATGATAGGTTTGCCATGTTCCCATTGTGTATCACCCACGAGTGTGTTATGTAGCAGTAAAAGCCTGCCCCCGGGTCATTTTAGTAATTCTGTGCTTTGTACAAACTTACTGGCAGTGGAGAAAGAACAAATGGGGGTGGATATCCCAGAGAGAAATGGTAGAGCATGTGGTTATGGCACTTCTCTCTTTCGGTATCTGTTTCACTATTCATATTACTGCAGAACTGAATGCCTCTGCTTAGCAAGCGAGTGGTTACTGCAGGAGATATATCCAGGTGGACACAACTTTGTTTTGTATCTCTAAGGAGCACAATACACCCTCCAGTTGGATGAAGATCAATGACAGGAAAGGATGCCATTTACTGGACGTGATCAATCAACCTTTTTTGGAAAGAGAAAGAGGAGCACACATGCCTGACAAGGCATCTAAAGATAAAACCGTGTTAACAGAGGAGAGAGCTCACCTCACTTCACATAACTTTTGGGCAAGAGTCAAAACTAAACTGTTGGCTCAGCTGTCAATCTCATCCCTACCTCCATGGTTTTCATGATTTAAAAATCTGTCATTAGAAGATATACATTTTATATGCCCATTTTGACCTATATAGTTGTTAAAAATATTAAATCCTCCAGGGATTTTTGATGGTATCATGGGATTCTAGACAATTAACTTCGCAAACAATTTTTGTCTTCCAGAGTTTGACTGCAACTATGATGGAGATTATGCTTGGATTGAGATGGTTCCTGTCATGTATCATGTTCTACAGCTGATGGTGGTTGGTGGTGGCAGGCTTAGTAGTTGGTGATGGAAAGAGTTAGTTCTAAAGGGCTGAGTAGTTTGTAAGTATGAGTTTATGGGTGAAAGCAATTAAGGATGGAGGCATGCAAGGAATAGGTATCAGCTGGGTTTTACTGGTTATAAGGTGCTAGCCCTGAGATTGATGTTGGGAGAAAAGTGTCGTATTTTGGCTGTGAATAGTGTTCCCTCCAGGTTTGTGGATTTTTGGTATCTTGACCTGTCACCTGAACTCTTGACACTCTGTAACCTTGAATCTCTGGACTGGCTTTTGACTATGGTATAGATTCTTGATCCTTGGACTTTACTAACTGAACTCTCAGCATTTGACCATTACACTGGACCCTATGGCTATGGTGTGCTCTTGAACCTGCATCAGTGTTTGCTAGCATTTTTTGTTTTATTATTCTGTGGTTTTCATGAAAACCACAGAAAACAGCCAGAAAGTAAGTGGTGCTTTAATTAAACAGTCTGATACAAACTGGGTGTTTGTTTGGTTCATCTCTGTCTGCATACCGGTAGAACCCTTGCATCGTGACAGTTCCACTTTAAACTTTATAGAGTAATAGGGCCACACTGCTTTCCCCATAAAATACCTGGGAAAGAAATATCCAACTATTTCAAAAAGGAATTCAGTATTCAGTACTGAGTCTATGAAGCAGATTCCTATCCTACACAGATGTTCGGGTTGGGCATCAAAAGGATGTGATGATAAATATGGAGACCTTTGGAATTTTAAAGATTGGCAGTGTCAGTACTGCTGCAGCTCTTTCAAATTAACTTCTATATGGATACTAAAAAAAGATGAATAGCTGATTGTTTGAGCTTGAATTTTGTTAATAGTCTATTTTAATGAGTGTGTGTGAGAGAGATCCCTCTGCTAAACTAATTTATTAAAGTGTTTTATATCAGCAGTATGGTGTTGGAAATAAGAATAAATGGCCAGTAGGGGAGTACAGCAAGCAGGAATATGAAAGAGAAAAATATTATTCCATATTGCCTTCCAACCCACAAGGATTCCAGAGGTGATGAACAAATAAAAATACAATTAAAACAATATAGTGACAAACACTTTGAAAAGCATATTAAAATACTATTTTAAAAGCTCCTAAAAGCCATCTAAAACAATAATTGAATCCAATTTTAAAGCAGTTACAAAGGCACAGGAAGTATAATTAGTTATGCAAGGCACAGAAGATATGCCTGAATCTTAATGGAATATCCTCTGTACTGACTTATCTTCCACATCAGCAATTAGATCCAAGTAAACTGCAGATCATTTTGAGGTACACTGTTGGGTGCAAGATTATTTAAGTTCTCAAGACAAGCCTTTTGGGTTTCTATGTTGCTCTGTATACAACATAGAACACAAGACATACACTCCTGTGGCAGTGTAATACAATAGGAAGTATGCCAAACCAAAAAACTGGACAACAATCTCCCTCGGAATATAGGAAGTCATGTCATACTATGTAAGATGATTCATCCTTGTTGGATCTATAGTTAAAAACCATTGTTGATCCTCCAGATTCAGCTTGTGGAATCCTTGACCATTCTGGGAACTTAAGTTCAAAACATCTGGGTATCATCAAAAGTTGAGAAACACTGACCTACTATACATACTGGTGGCAGCTTCCTACTATTTCAGACAAGATGTTTTGCCAATCCTACCTGGAAATAGCAGAGAATGAAACTGGGATATTTGGAGGGGCCGTAGTGGCGCAATGAGTTAAACCGTTAAAATGTTGAATCTGCTGATCTAAAGGACAGCAGTTCAAACCCACAGATCAGCCCTGCTATTAGCCCTAGCTCCTGCCAACCTAGTAGTTTGAAAACATGCAAATGGGGGAGATAAATAAGTACAGCTTCGTTGAGAAGGTTATAAAGGTAGCCATGCTGGCAGCACAATTAGGAGGTGTCTAAAGGCAACAGGCTCCTCAGCTTGAAAATAGAACAAGAGCACCTCCCCATGACCAGAGTTGAGTACCGCCTCCAGAAAGAAACCTTTACCTTTGTTCTGTGTTATTTGTATGTCTTTGTTATTCTATTGTATTGAAGGCATTGAATATTTGCCTATATGTTCTAATCCGCTCTGAGTTCCCTTGGGGAGCTAGAGGAGAATATAAATAGAGTGTAGTAGTAGTAGTAACAATAATAATAATAATAATAATATAGCTCCTCTTAGCACAGCTTAGCCACCATTATTGGTGCTCTGACTGTTTTCTGGGAAGAAATCTGAGTAACCAAGGGATACCTTGGAAATATGCATTTGGAAACAACACACAACATCCAGTAGTGCATCCTGAAGCAATTTTTCAACTACAGGCTGAATAAATATTTTTAACATGCTTTGGAGAACAAGAAAGCTTCAGTGGTAACTTGAAGCAAACTATATGTCAGAAGCTGGTTTTCTTGCTAAAGCACTCCACCGCTGGCTATGAGGTTTCCTTTAACCATAACTGGGTATTCCTCTACAGTTGCTATAAATGCGTTTTGGAAAGAGCTGCAAGAAAGAAAGAAATCAAACATATTCTCTCTAATCCTCTTAAGCTTCAGTTTGCATTATATGGGAGTATTACTAAATGACAGCCCAAACACCCCAAAGGCACCAGCTCCTATGTGATCTTGGAAGCTAATCAGCTCTTGGATTGGAGACGACCAACACATACCAGGTGCTATAGGTTATATTTCAGAAGAAGGAACTGGCAAAATCACCTGGGTATTTCTTGCGTGATAAAGCCCTAAGAAATTCAAGTGGTCACCACAAATCATCACGTAACAAGGAAGCAAATACAAACATAATCATAAAAGAGCATAATTTTTTTTAAAAAAAAATCCAGTTAGCAGTTTACTACGTACACCACTACACTGTGTAAGATCTCAAAAGACAAGTGAATGTGTTTTAAATGATCGGAAAAGGAAACCTCTTGTAACTCAGGGTCTATTTATCTGATGTATATAAATACATGTACATAGTGACACAATTTACTTTTCTTTTCAGCACTGTTTGCCAAAAGCTTTATCACGAAAAGACTTTACTAGAACAGCTTCCAAGTGCTAGGCAATGAAATTTCTTCTGTGAAAAGTTTTAACCATCTTTGATTTTTTTTAATGTGTAGTTGCAAAGGAGCCCACAAAAGCATGCCTTCAATCCTTTCACACATTTCTGACACATGTTTCTGGCACATATTTTCTCAATATGCTGTTGTTTCAGAGCCATCTTTTAAAAATATCCATAGGAGACTCTTCAAAGTGTGGTTGGAGCCAATTAGGGGTCACACATAATTAATGTGATGATATAACCATTATTTCCTGCAATCAAATTTTATTAGCTGCATGACAAGTATAAGAATATATTCTCTGTTGCCCAAGTGATGCAACAAAGATCACCCCAAAAGATAGGTGTGCAAGAAACTTGTCATTCTAGTTCACTTTGGTAAATGTTTCTCCAGAGGAGAGCAACTAAAATGATAAAGGGTCTGGAGAACAAGCCCTATGAGGAGCGGCTTAAGGAGCTGGGCATGTTTAGCCTGAAGAAGAGAAGGCTGAGAGGGGATATGATAGCCATGTATAAATATGTGAGAGGAAGCCACAGGGAGGAGGGAGCAAGCTTGTTTTCTGCTTCCCTGGAGACTAGGACGCGGAACAATGGCTTCAAACTACAAGAGAGGAGATTCCATCTGAACATGAGGAAGAACTTCCTGACTGTGAGAGCTGTGTGGTGGAGGCTCCTTCTTTGGAAGCTTTTAAACAGAGGCTGGATGGCCATTTGTCAGGGGTGATTTGAATGCAATATTCCTGCTTCTTGGCAGGGGGTTGGACTGGATGGCCCATGAGGTCTCTTCCAACTCTTTGATTCTATGATTCTATATGTTATATACTGCCTCTTGATGGCAGAAACTAGGATTTAAGAAGAAGTGCAATAAATCTAAGGGAGGGAAGGGTGCTTACTGTTGATCATACTAAAATGTGAAGATAGATTCAGAGCTAAGTAAATAATTCTTTTGCGTGGGGCTGCAATGCAGTCACACTGTACTCATAGAATAAACTTCAGTTCTGGCCTTGGAACACTGCACAGAATTTCCATTTGCTTAATCAAGACCTTTTGGGTTCCACCCCCCCCCCCAAAAAAAAAAAAGCTCTAAACAATCAGGCAGCAACTTCTAAGGATATGGGAATCATGTTTGCCCTTTCCAAGTCTCAGAAGGCTGCAATGTTCTCTGAAAAATTCAGAAGCTTTGCTCATCTCACATGTAGTCCTTTGTCTAAGAATAATTGTTTCTGATGCATGCATCATGTGCCCATGTTTCCATAACAAACCATTTTTTCTCAAAAAAAAGAGAAGGTTTTAGTTACTTACTGATCCCTTTTCCATCACTCTGTTAAGCATGACAACACCACGGCTTTTCTGTTCCCAAATCATCTCCCAGAAGTGACCACAAGTATTTGGCAGAGGACCCTGCAATGATACAAAATCTTCTGGAGTAAGAAATATGCATATGGTACAAGTGCAAAGTACTAAAATCATATTTTAAACTCAACAGAGAAAGTACTTCTAGTTTGGGGATTATAACTATATTAAGCAATTTTGTTAGTGCAAATTGTCATATACAAATAGTTATGCATGCACAGCTTGTAAAGATTGTTAGTACAAATATGAAAGGAAATCAATGTTTTTACTTGCCAGAAAGGAAATAGAAAAGAATCGTTCTAAGAATGCCTGCCCAGAAAAAGGACAAACATGCCAATCTGCAGGATACATTTAAGAAATCTGTCCAGTCAACAAACATATGATTCATAGAGATGGGGGACAATAAAAACTTATTGCTAGGAAGTTTGGCCTTTTTAAACATTTCATGAAAAATCTTGGCATAGCACTGAAAAAGGAGGTCAGGAAGAGTTTACTATTCCAGCTAGATGTTTACCCTAAGCCCTTTCAATGTAACCTCTCCTCGGAGTTAAAGTTTCTTCCTTTCCCATCACTTCCAGCCCACAGTATCTTGAGGTATGAAAACTCTCTTGTTTTCACCAATTGAGCTTGAGAAGGAGGTGGGACTGAGAGAAAGGCCTCTCCTGACAATCTCAAAGCTTAGGCAGGTTTGTACAAGGGGATGAGATCGGAACATTGCCTGGACCTGAATCATCTAAGACTTTAAAGGTCATAAGCAGCACTTTGAATTGTGCCTAGTAACAGTCTGGCAGCCAGTGGAGCTGCTTCAACAGTGGGGCTGTCTGCTCCCTGTAGCCAGCCCCAGTTAGCAACCTGGCTGTAGCTCTTTGGACCAGCTGAAGTTTTCAAGCCCTTTTCAGAAGCAGCCCCATGTAAAGTGCGTTACAGTAATCCAGACGGGATGTAACTAAGGCATGTACCACCGTGGCCAGATCTGGCTTCTCATGAAATAGGTGCAGTTGGCGCACAAGTTTTAAGTGTGCAAAGGCCCTCCCGGCCACTGCTGATACCTGGGCCTCCAGGTTCAATGCCAACTTGTGTCTTCAGGGGACCCGTGTCTTCAGGGGGAATGTGACCCTATCCAGAACAGGCTGGATCCCTATTTCCTAATCTACCTTTCAATTGACCAGGAGTACCTCTATCTTGTCTGGATTAAGTTTCAATTTGTTTGCCCTCATCCAGTCCATTACTGATGACAGGCGCTGATTTAGCGTCAGGATACCTTCCTTGGCATTAGGTGGAAAGGAGTAGTAGAGCTGGGTGTCATCCGCATACAGGTGGCACTGTACTCCAAAACTCAGGATGACCTTTCTCAGTGGTTTAATGTATATGTTAAACAGCATGGGGAACAAAATGGAACCCTGAGGAACCCCACAGGTCAACAGTCAGGGATTCAAAAAAGAGTCCCCAGCACTACCTTCTGGGTATGGCCCTCCAGGAAGGACTGGAGTCAGGGTGATGACCCAGAGGAACACTATGGTCAATGTAATCCAGGAGAACCAGGGGGCACACTCCCCATGTTCTAGCTCTCTGCAAATGTCATCCACTAAGGTGGCCAAAGCAGTCTCTTTTCCATAGCCAGGCCTGAAACCAGATTGAAATGGATCTAGAAAATCCATTTCATCCAGTTGGGAGGCCACCACACGCTCCAAGACATTACTCAGAAAGGGGAGGTTGGACACTAGCCAATAGTTGTTCATTATAGAGGGGTTTAGGGATGGCTTTTTAAATATAGGTTGCACAACTGTCTCCTTTAGGCAAGCTGGAACTTTGCCTTGTTCTAAGGAGGCACTGACCACCATCTTCATCCACTCTGCTAGCCCTGGTTGGTTAGATTAGTCAGAAAGGGCAAGGATCTAGAAACATGTGGTAGTAGCTTCCACCTCTCCAAGGATCCTGTCCACATCATTACGCTGTACAAATTTCCCCACAATTAATCCTTAATATCAACCAAATATTATGCCATAAAATATACAAGTTAAATAATTCAGAATAGATAACGCCAGGAACTAGTGCCAGAGGATTTTGGAACTGTCTGGTCAAGTTCAGGAGTTTAAGCACAAAATGTCTCAGTGTCTTGCCAGACCAAAAAAAAAAAATCTGCCAGGAGATATAATGGTCCACTTCATAAGAAGACAGGCAAAAGATGAAGCACTTCAGCAATAGAACCTGAACAGGAGGAAGATTGATGGAAAGGAGGTGGAGATATTTAAGGATATGATAGTTCAGTTGCTGTGGAAAAAGAAGAGCTGTGCCTTTGTACCCAACAAGTTGAAATGTGCTAGCATTTCATTGGGAGAAACTGGAAGGAACCTCTCTAAGAAACAAAAAAGGAGGTCCAATTTGAACAAAATACAGAAGGCCAGAATTGTGGAAGTAGGGACCTTCTTGAAGGAAAAAATGATTCAGCCTCTTCTGGAAGCTCCTCAAGCAGAAAGAGCTCCTCAAGTCCCTTGAAGCATTGCAGGAGAAGAGGAGAAAGCTCTACCGTCCAAGGGTAAAAGAAGGAACATGGATACTGATGAAAGCACATAATTATAATAGATTATATCTTTTTGACATGGAATGTTCAGGGTATATAAACTTGCCTCAGAAAAGAAAGAAGATATTTCATTATTTGGAAAAACTGAAATTTGATTTGATTTGTTTGTAAGAAACCTCCATAAAGATGAAAAAATAATCCTAACAAATCCTAAACCAGGTAAAGAATTTGCAGAATCACCCAACAAGAAGAAAAATGGAGTAGTTTCATATGTAAACACTGCAATTTCTTCAGATATATTTTAATGTTGTCAATGGTTGTTTTGTGAGTGGAAATATACCAGGGACAAAATACTCTGTTGATTGGCTTTTGTGAACCAGAGAATAAATCTTACTTTTATGTGAGGTTATTCGCATTTCTGGAAGCATTGTATAAAAATTAGGAGATTGGAAGGGGTGATTTCCCCTAAAGTGGGTAGATTAGGGAAAAGGCTGAATGGACAATTTTGAATTTGGAGATGCTTGTAAATAAAGTTGTCCCTCCATATTTGTAGTTCTAAGTTTTGCAGATTTGATTGTTCATAGATTAGATCGATAATGTTCTCTCTACAATCTCTAATTCAGTGGTTCTCAACCAGCGGGTCCCCAGGTGTTTTGGCCTACAACTCCAAGAAATCCCAGCCAGTTTACCTACTCTAAGGATTTCTGGGAGTTGAAGGCCAAAACATTTGGGGACCCACAGGTTGAGAACTACTGGTCTAATAATTACAGTGTTACTCTATGGTCAACTTCTTCCAGTATAGCTGCAGGACCTAGAGTTTCACAGAGAGAACACCTCTCTTTATCTGGTAAAGGAGGAGACTCATGGTATGATTTAGTACTGCAAGACATCTAACAACATGGAGGTCTGGGTCTGCTGGACCTCAAGCTATGCTTTGCAGCTTGTGCTCTGGTTTGTATTAAACATAAGGTTAAAAAAAACCCCCAAGAATGTTGCCAGATCTAGCTGAAATGGATAAGCTGACAGTCCTGATTAAGGACACTGCAACAGAAAATGTTAAACAAGATTGGCAACTGGTTGTTGTAGATTCAAGGGATCACTGGAGTAGATCATCAGTTATAGCATTTGAAGCATAGCAGATATTGTTATAAGTAGAAAGAATATTACCTTATTTAGTTTGAGAGATAAAGAGTTAATAACAAAGTTTATTTTAGATTAGAAGAAGTATGTTAGGAGGACAAATATTGCCATCACCTGGGAGACTGGAAGCCAAGCCCTGTGATCCACCCTGTTTTTCTCTCTCAATGTCCATCCCCCCCTTAGTATTATTTGATAAAATGTGCTTGTAGATTGTAGTTCATAGAATGAGAGAGAAACGATCACAAGGGTCATCCAGTTCAACCCCTATTATCTGACAAGTGAATGTTTTAGTCAACATGAAAACTGTTATTTTGTTTGTGTGTGTAATATTTTCCCCTTAAAAACATAGTCTCTTAAATGCATGCCCTTTGTTTAATCTCTGTTTTGTGTATTTTAATATGTATTTTTACAGAAATACATTTTAATAGGTGTATTTGTGGTATTTTTACAACATGCATGTGTTTTAATTATTCTGTAACCCGCCTCGAGCCATGAAGAGAGGCGGTAAGAAATAAAATTATAATATTATTATTATTAAATCCTGATTAGTGGTACACAGATACTTGACCTCCAAGCTTATAAACCATCTGGGGAGATGTTTTTTAAAAAAGGAAAAATTGCTTCACTACTGGTAATACCAGATAATGTTTCAGTTTTTGGGACCATCTTCATTACATTGACACCATTTCATATGTATTTTTGACTGCCACATTTATTGCTGTTTAAGTCTCAATGCATTTTGTGCCCAAATGCTTATCAGAATACTCTTTTAGCAGACAATTTGTCTATCTCTCTACGCTCCACAGCACCCAACCCTAAAAATGAGCTTTTTACTTCTAAACCAGGTTTTACATACACAAATTAAATGTAGAGCTGAACTTCATATGATGATTTTAGAATAAACCTCCAAATGAGTTTTGTTTTTAATTGTCATGTTGAACAAACTCCTGCATCCTGTCAAAAATGATTCATGCAGTCATTTGTTCAACAGAGACAAATGCAAGATTCTCCACTTAGGCAGAAAAAAAATGAAATGCAAAGATACAGAATGGGGGTGCCTGGCTTGACAGCAGAACGTGTAAAAAAGATCTTGGAATCCTCGTGGACAACAAGTTAAATATGAACCAACAATGTCATGTGGCAGCTAAAAAGAACAATGGGATTTTGGCCTGCATTAATAGGAATATAGTGTCTAGATCTAAGGAAATCATGCTAACCTGCTATTTCGACTTGGTCAGACCACGCCTGGAGTACTGTGTCCAATTCTGGGCACCACAATTGAAGGGAGATATTGACAAGCTGGAATATGTCCAGAGGAGGGTGACTAAAATGGTTAAGGGTGTTGAGAACAAGGCCTATGAGGAGCGAATTAAAGAGCTGGGCATGTTAAGCCTGAAGAAGAGAAGGCTGAGAGGAGACATGATGGCCATGTATAAAATATGTGAGAGGAAGTCATAGGGAAGAGGGAGCAGGCTTGTTTTCTACTGCCCTGGAGACTAGGATGCAGAACAATGGCTTCAAACTACAGGTAGGGAGATTCCACCTGAACATTAAGAAGAATTTACTGACTGTGAGAGCTGTTCAGCAGCGGAACTCTCTGCCCTGGGAGTGTGATGGAGGCTCCTTTTTTTGGAGGCTTTTAAGCAGAGACTGGATGGCCATCTGCAATCTTCTTGGCAGGGGGTTGGACTGGATGGCTCACGAGGTCTCTTCCTATTCTATGATGTTATGATTTCTGACATGATGAATATATCCTCAAATGTTCATGATGCAGAACTCTAAAATCATAATATGGGAAACATGGAGATGGAGGCTGGAGATCTGATACTGAGCTGCTCCCTTTTTCAGTCCAGCCAGATATGAATACTGTCTTTTTAATGGGTAAGGCCAGGTACTTTTCTTGCTGATGTTTTTAGTTCACTTTGACCAACTTTAATGTTAGTAGCAACTTAAGCTAAAGAACAACTCTCTCATACTATGTGCAAACTGATTTTGGTCCAGTATTTATTAATATTTATTTAGATTCTTTATACAGAATTTAGTCAAAACACATACAAAACTTCAAAATACATCTTAGTAGCACAGGCTCAAGTACATGAAAGGCAAAGGGTTGGAGCAGAAGCATGAGAACATGTGAGTAATTTGAAAGTACTTGAGGGAAGAAAATTCAACCAAAGGAAATAGCTTCAGAGAGAAAAAGTTACACGATTGATTACATCAACTAATAATAGGAAGGGTGGAGTACATAGCTTCCTGTATTGTGTTTTTAGGAAGTAGATGGTTTGATCCAACAATAGCAAGACATAAGCTGGAGCTAAGAAGCTAAAGCATCTCATTGAAAGTGCCCATCCCCTCCCAGAAATTCATATTTCAGATTGATCTAAGGATGAGAATACCACATTTTACAAAAAGGAGCAATCATCTAGATGGGAAGAGGAAGCTCAAACTGTGCTGGACAAGGTGATTTAGCCCATAAAACATGAAAATACTCTGAAATGAAATACAAAGAAAAGAAACCTTCAAATGAAATCATTCTTGAGTGCAGCTGTATGAAAAGGCTGAAAATGAACTATAATTTATAACTGTAGGTATACAGATGACAAAAAGCCCTCTTTGTATAATATTGCTTTTTTCAACCTTGTTATATATAACCAAGCCACACATGATCAGAGTTCATGAGTATGATTGTTTCAGTGGGGTTCCTAATACTTTGAAATCCATATTTCGTATCAGAAAGTTCTCCAGCATTCAACATAACGTGTCACTGACAGGTCCTTATTTCGAAACTGGACCCCAAACTATTCAGCCAACTTCTAGTTCCCACATCCTCTGTCTCATACTGTGCAACTCTACTGTAGTGAAATATTATGTAATTGGGGAAATTACACACAAACTCATGAGTTTCAAAAAGTAAAGGGGAAAGAAACATAACAAATAGATTATATCTTTCATCCACTCTCCAAAGCACTTACCTGCGTGAGTATGTAGCTTCTGTTCGCCTCTTCCATTTTTATCAAACTAGCATTGATGTAGTCATTATCACCTTGCTGCAGCTTAATTCGACTGTGGTCAACTGTAAAACAAGACAAAAACACAAAAAGTTTGAAAAACTTCTCAATCATTCATTTTACAGTAAGTAGCTTATACAAGCAGAAGTTTGAACATTTTTTATTTCCAGACAATGAAATACTAAATGATAACTGTTTCCGTATATTGGGTTCCAAAGAGGGTTTTTTTTTGTTTTTTGTTTTTTTGTAAAAGGGAAGGGGGAAGAATGGCTGAGGTTTAGCAAGGTCTGATACTGACAACTGATCTTATCATTACAATTTATAGTCTAGACCAGCATTTCTAAATCTGGGGATTGGGACACCTGGAGAGGTTGCAAGGGGGTGTCAGAGGGGTCGCTAAAGACCATCAGAAAACACAGTATTTTATGTTGGTTATAGGGGTTGTGTGTGGGAGTTTTGACCTAATTCTATCATCAGTGGGGTTCAGAATGCTCTTTGATTGTAGGTGAACTATAAATCCCAGCAATTACAACTCCCAAATGTTAAGGTCTATTTTCCCCAAACTCCAGCAGTGTTCACATTTGGGCATATTGAGTATTCGTGCCAAGTTTGGTCCAGATCCATCATTGTTTGAGTCCACAGTATTCTCTGGATAGAGGTGAACTACAACTCCAAAACTCAAGGCCAATGCCCACCAAACCCTTACAGTATTTTCTGTTGGTCTTGGGTATTCTGTATGCCAAGTTTGGTTCAATTCCATCATTGGTGGAGCTCAGAATGCTCTTTGATTGTAGGAGAACTATAAATCTCAGCAACTACAATTCCCAAATAACAAAATCAATCCCCTCTTTTCAACCCCACTAGTATTCAAACTTGGGTGTATCGGATATTTGTGCCAAATTTGGTCCAGTGAATGAAAATACATCCTGCATATCAGATATTTATATTATGATTCATAACAGTAGCAAAATGATAGTTATGAAGTAGCAACAAAAATAATTTCATGGTTGGGGGTCACCACAACATGAGGAACTGTATCAAGGGGTCGCAGCATTAGGAAGGTTGAGAAACACTGGTCTAGACAATCCTTTAGAATGCTTATTTTTATAAACCTCTTTTTTAAATGAAGTCTTTGCTTACATTCTCAGAAAAAAAGCTGAATTTCAATCAATGAGAAACTTAATAACTCCACTTGTACTATTATATATATTATTCAATTAATGTTTCTCCTAACCCAGAAAGCTATTATCAATAACCAAACCACTTTGACAGTAACTGCACTTCATTTTTAAAGAACTGAAGTTTACTCTATTTAGCCTACCCAGATATAGAAGAATCCCCTCATTTTACAGGAAAACCAAACTGACTGGAAGCCATATCATCATCATAATCTAAAACGAACAAAATCAATGGTGGTTACCACAAAAAGAACCCCGAGAACTGATCAGTAAGCAAAATTATGTGCAACATTATAGCTTCTATTGAGTTTTCCTGGAAGGCTCAACAGATTTTTAGTCTATTAAGTGATTGTAGAGGTTTTCTAGGATATGGAAAAACTGCATCTTCAACTTTAATGTAGACAGAAGATCTGTGACTACAGTGTACAATTCAATTTTTAAAAGAAGTGGTCATGAGATATCAATAGCCCTTGAAGTTGAGCAGCTGCAAGATAACATCATGATTTGATTGAAAAAATAGGTTCAGTTAGATTTGGGCCAGAGAAATGGGACTTCAAATTTTCGGTCACCATCTCTTGGTCAGATATACTTAATGAGGCCAATGTCATGATGAAAATGAGTTAGCCCCACATATGCTGCTCCAGGCCACAGAAGAGAAACCGCACAGGCTACATGGTTAACATACAGAGACCTTCTGAAAAAACAAGATGGCCCTCTTAGATAAAATAATTTCCTGGTTCAAGCAAAGACAAATTAGAGAATATTTTATTAAAGACAAGAACAAAGGCTTTGCAGATAAAGAAACATTTTGGGACAAAATTATGAAGTCAGAAAATAAACTGAGACTGGAATGGTCTACAAAAATGGAGTTAATAAAAGAATGTATGAAAAATGGGCCACAAATACTGGACACACTATTCAGTTAGAGGAGTAGGAAAAGGAGGAGTGGGACGATGAGATGGGACAGTTTTTTTTTTATTAAGAGATGAAAATGATCTATGTTTTAATATTCTTGTTATGGTTTTATATTATGTGTTAATGTTTTTAAACGTTTTATTTTTGTGTTTCTGGACATCGAATCATTGCCATTGTAAACTGCCCTGAGTCGCCTGAGGGCTGAGAAGGGCGGTATACAAATACAGTAAATACATAAATAATAAATACATAAAAGATGTGGAACCAAAAAAATAAAGTGGACTTACACCTATGATTTAAAGGTAAACTAGTTAAGAATGATGTACAGATGGTACATCACCCCCCACAAACTAGCTAGACTTTATCCAAAATTAAATGACAAATGTTGGAAATGTGAGGATCATGTAGGGTCTTTCTACCACATGTGGTGCTCCCACAAAATAGCAAGAAATTACTGGAAAGAAATTCAGCAGGAGATCTAGAAGATATTAAAAATAAATCTACAATTAAAACTAGAACACTTCCTACTTGGTATTATAGAGACCGGAATGGAAGAAAACAAAGAAAAACTCTTTAACTATTTAGTGACCGCAGCCAGAATGAATTACGACCACCTCTGGAGGTCAAAATAGATACCAACAAAAAAAACCAATGGATTTTGAAACTTTTGGACATAATGAATATAGACCTGCTAACACAGATGCTGAACACCAACCAAGCAAAAAGGAGGAAAATAACGGACTGGACACCCATTAAGGATTACATGAACAAAGAAAACATTACATTGGTAGTGGACATTTAAGGAGACATATAAGCAGTTAATATCACGCCACGAGAGAACAGGAAAGGAGAAAGATGATTCTAAACAGATCATATGGAAATAACAGAAGTCAATAACCACAGTTGAGAACTGGGAGTCAAACTCTTCAATTCCCATTTTCTTTCTTTCTTTCTTTCTTTCTTTCTTTCTTTCTTTCTCTCTCTTCTTCTTCTTCTCCTTTTTCCTCTTGCTTATTTTCCCTTCTTTTCTCTTCTCTCGCTCTATTTTCCTATCCCCTCTTCCCTCCCCCATTTTCTCCCCCCACCATATCATATTTATGTTAAAACTATTCATTAATAAAAAGTATTTTTTTAAAAAAAGATATATGGGGGAAAGCTTTATTAATAGCAACAACTTATCTCCAAACTGGAAATCACAGCTGAATAACAAGAGAGAGTTCATGCTTATGGATTCTGTGAAGGAATATGGTTGGCCACTATGGAAATAAGGCCACCAGGCACAATGAGACAGTTGCCACAGGAAGCCAGTTGGGACATATCACAAAACGATGACAAACACTGATTATTTGGTTATATTTTTATAGAAAGGAAAGGTGCAAGAAAGAAGTCTATGCTATTTTCTGCCTCATGCGGGTGCCATCATTTTGGTACCAAATAATTCAAATGGTTTATGGTAAGTGAACCTTTACTTTGGGGGGAAAGAAGAAGCAAAAAAAGCTCTACATTGACTCCCAAAAAGTGTGAACTGACCTTGCAGACAGGGCTTTGAGTCTGATCCACCAAGAATGTCAGCATCCCACTTTCAAATTAGCTATTACAAAATCTGGTGACTTAACAACGGGGTTCTACTACAATCAGTATATGAAAATTTAGTAAAAATATGCTAGAATCGCCAAATCAGGGAATGCTATTTAAATCAACAACTTTGTAAAAGTGATGTATTCATTAGCAGCAGAAGTATACATTTACTTGGATATACTTAACATTGTGTAAATAGACATAAACTGATTACCAATAGTAGGTATCTGACTTAAATGATTTTAGAGCGATAGAATACTTACAGGGGCTGACATCTCTGTACCTGTTGCGATTTTTGTTTTTAGGAAGTTTGGCCACTTTGCATGGAAAGTCACTGGCTTCATGTCTTATATCCTGGAAGGAAACAAAAATAGACATTTGTACATATACTTAGAGTTCTGCACATATAAAGTTCTTCCCTTTGACTTAGTTAATTCATAGATATCACTGAAAGCTTTTGGCTTATCACTATAACTTGACTCCCGTTGGAGAGTTTGCACAATGATTAGGAAAAAGTGGTTTTTAATTTATATGTGCTAACTACTATCTTTGGAAAATTGAGAGTTATATTGCAGGTTACCACAGTCACCCAAGTTGCTTTGGATAGTACAAAAGTTAGAAACTACTTCTTCTTATGTGACATACAGCACTAAATACCATTTCACAGTCAAAACAAAATGTACCAGCATGGGTCACTTTAACTGGAAAGGGCTTAGCAATGTAAGCAGTGCTGCTAAACAGGGATATCTAGAGGAACACATTTGTTCTTCGGTATCCTACACACTGCCATATCATTAATACGTATAAATAGCTAAAGGCTACAAATGTCTGGTTAAGATAAGAACCCAAGTAGGAACCCATGTTTTCTTGAGTCATCAGCAAGCTGTGCTAGAGCTACTTAATTCAAAAGGATTCTTTGTACTCAATGTATTTAATATATCATATTAGCAATATGGTTTCAAACAAACGAGGCTACCCAACTTCTATACCAATCACTTTAATCTTTTGCTTCACACAAATAGTTCAAAATTCACTCAAACAACATAGAGGGGTTTTCTGCAACTTCTGTACATATCACACATAAAATGGGAACTTAATAAAGAAAGTCCTCTGCATTAGAAAAATATGAAAGACATTGCAGTCTGCAAAACAAAGAGAAGTTATAGGATCCGGTTAAAAATTAGCTGGTGTAAGGAAACTCAAGAAATCCCAGGATAGGGATCACGCCTATGCACAATGAACTGTGAAGCTCAGTTTTAAAAGGCCATCCAAGAAAATTAAACAAAAAGCTGGGCCAAATGCATCATTTTCCACTAGGCTTGAAGCCATTTTTGATTTTTTTTGTTAACTAAGTAAATGTAAGACAACTGACATGAAGACAATGCAAATTCACTTGGTTCCTTTACAGTCCTTTTAGACAATAATAGACATTTAAGTGCCAGGTTACAGTCAAGCGGTTTTTCACCTCCACCAACTTGGAACACACACATTGTGCCAGACAGCTCTGAACTTGTAAATGCTACAAAAACCCTCTGAACTGCTAAGACTTCCAGATATTTTTTTTAATAAACATTCTCAGCATCTGGTAATATCAGTTCTCCAGTGTCAGAAATCATGCTTAAGCTGATACATCTACTAATAAGAAAAGCACTTCCTAGGAACTGGAATATGCAAAAACTATTGCCTGGAAAATGAAGCTTTCTTTCCTAGGAAAATGCTCAGGCGAGTGGTTGGTAGTCAATGACCAGTAGGACCTTTGCTGGGAGGAACTGGAAAATGCAATCATGCTGGTTCTTCTGTAGTACTAAATGGATTTTAGTACAATCACATTATCCTGTTTGGAGAGACTGCCCAAGTTGATGTTTGCTGGGTACCTGATTCTCAATGGTTCTGTTTATACCTGGAGGACCAATGAAGTACATTGGTCTTAGAGAAGAACCTTCAAATCTATCACATCCACACTTGTAGTCTGAAGTGGTACAGACTTCCAGATACCACTTTACAATTTATTTCCATTATAAGTGTTCCACATTTCTATGAAAGATAGAGGGATGGACAGATGGATGGACATACAGCTCCTGCCAATTTCCATGGCCCTACATATACCTGCAGACCTTTGGCAATGGCAAAAAAGCTGTCATTTTCCTTAAATCCGTTTCTAAACAACATGCTCTTTGCACACCTTATGTTAAAGCATTTTTCCCCTTGGTAGCACACTGGCAGGAAAATATATGATTTAGCTTTAGAATGAAGCACACAATAGATGATTAATGTTTTCACGACTCTTTCTGGAGATCCACTGGTATATCATTCTAATGTGCCTTGTTTCAAACCAAATGTTAGCTTTCCCTCTAAAACACATCCCCCAAATTCAGCAGCATATAAGCAGGAAGTGCAGTCCCAGTGGGGTCAGCAAAATCAACTTGGGACCATATGCCAGGCATAGATGTGGATTCTGTTCTAAGGCAGAGGTAGCACTTTTAACATAATGATAAGTAGTGAAAAAGATAAAAGAAGAACTTTGACATGAATTTTAAATACACCACATTTTCAGCGTGAGTCATAGGATACCAATAACCGCATGTGCCTGAATCATTTAGGAAAGAAGAGATATGGAGCCACTATAGCTTCTGTACTGGGGGGAAAAGTCAGCTGATCATTGTTCCTCACCCTTGGTATCTTTCTAGTAAATCTAAATTAAACAGCTTCCTGTTTCTTTTGTGAGTAAGAAGACTGCTTAAAGTTACACATAAAGGATCTATAGGTTGAAGTTGAAAAAAAAACCATGAAGAGCTTCATGGTTAAGATTTCTCTTTTGCTACTTCCAGGAGTCTTGCATGTCTTGCACATTTGCTACACCCACTAGTCACATGATAAGCGACTGTCAAATCTTGGGCCTAATTGTGTCAAACATGGTATAAACTGAAGTGTTGGTTTAGACATGGTTTGTCAGGTATGGAAAGTGACCTTGCCCAGAGGCTGCAATTATGTTATGCAAGCATTGGGAAACTCAAGCCTGTGGACCTATCCTTGTTTGTCAGGTTCTCCAACCCAGCTATTTGAGTTCCCTAGTGAGATCCATCTGCTGAGATAGGAGACTGGGCATGAAAGTGACTGCATGGAGAAGGTAAAAGAGGAGTGAAGCAGGGCAAACTGTTCTTAAAGTGTCAATTAAATCTGGTTTGCCTCATTACTGAATTAGCAACGAAAAAGATCCAACCCATACTTATGAAGTTCAGTGGCAACAACTGGTCCACAGAAAGGTCCATAACCTCCTACTCTAAAAAGTTATCTCACTATAGTGTCTTCTGCTGCTCAAGTTTCACCTCCTTTATGATAAAGCCAATGAAACTGGTTTTGTAGAAGAGAAGCAGATCAGTCTGTACTTTGATTGTAATCGCTAAATTCCCTACTGGCCATGCCAATGTCCACCCCATCCCAAAAACACCTCCAATTCCAAGTTTTGCTTATTTGTGTTCAATAACTGATAAGGGGAATCAGAATTCCAACAAAATGCTTTGGGCACTTATTACTGGTATTTTCCTGTCAGCAGAGCAAGCAGTATTCCTGGAGCCTGAAATGACCCCAGATCCCTCTCCCTTTTTGCATTGCAACAACTTAAGAGTGTTTACTACCAAGCCCATCTGCAACTATTTATAGAGCACAAAATAAAACAATAATTCATGTTTTTATAATTGAAAACATAATTTAATTTAATGTACTTCATACAGAGCAGCTTTTGAATGCTGCAGCAAGTATGTAACATAGCCACCCACCTTCTTATGGGACTAGAAAAGAAGTACATCATAAAGTTCAGATATTTACTGGGACTAATGAGCAATAAAGCTCTGAGTCATGGAGGAAATGTCTAAAACAAGGGTTTTTATTTATTTCAAGGTGCCCAAAGAACTGGAGTATAAGAATGCCAAGAAAAGCAGCTGTAGGACCCAAGACAAGAAGTGAGCATGGGGAAGGTCATTGCAGCTCTTTCCTCTGAAACCCTAAGGGGCTGTGTATCATAGTAAGCAAGGATCACAATGCTAAAGAAGTCATATGGCACATTACAGCTGAACATATGGGTCTTTATGTTTCACATCTACTTTGTTAACTGATTCTATATTCGATATAGTGAAGAAGCAGTCAACTCCATTTCTACACAAGCATATATGATGATGGGAAACACACAGTTGATCACATAAAGCTTTTATTTGCTACTAGCTAACCCTGACCACACTTCGCTGTGGCTCAGTCTGACATAAAATGAATGAGATAGTAAATAAAATTATTGTTGCCTACATAGATTCATCGCGAAAATACATCATTCAATTCAATACCCTGCCTTGTGTTGCTGTGTCTGTGTGGAATGAAAGGAAGGGAAAGAAAAAGAGGGTTTTTTTACATAATAATTTTATTGTAAAGCTAGTGGAATGACTACATTTTTGGTTTCTCCATTTTCTGCATAAACATAAAGATCTGATGGTTTACCAACTCTTGAGCATGAGATGTATAAGTGCCCATGAGAGAAGCAATTGTTTTCTAAATTCAAACTGCACACTTGCAAAGATTACCCCTGCACTTTATTGATAGCCATAGGTTGTTATTTCTTTTACTGCTGAGGTAAAAGCAAAGCTGTGTAGCGATTGGTTCCTCTTGCTAAGTTTTCATTTCTTATTCTGCTGTGGTAAAATTAGAAGGCTGTGAATGGTTGCTTTGGACATCACTGATTCCACTTTGTCCATTTCCAGACTGCTAGTTTTACTATAAATACATGCAGGTATTCGAATGCAATACCGTGTCCAAATTTCAGTGCTCAGTTTTCATTTCTTATACTGCTGAGGTAAAATGAAAGCTAGGCTGTGAGTGGTTACTTTGGGCATCACAGATTCCACTTTGTCTTTTCCGGACGGCATGTTTTACTCTAAATACATGTGGGTTCAAATGCAACATTGTGTTTAAATTTCATTTTACTATAAAAACACACATGTATTGGAATGCAACGTTGTGTCGAAATGTCAAGTCAATCGACCGACTACTTTTTGAGTTTTGCGAGCACAAACATACACAGGCTGAGATTTTATATATAAAGATATCTCACTGATATTACAAGTAGAGGAGACTCTCTGAATCATTGGGATTTACAAAAGTGCAGACTTACAATGAGTCTTTCCTAGAAATAGACTAGTGTATACTTGCAGGAGTCTAGCAACTAAATTTAGGTCTTACTGGGGGTATTTTAAAGGGAAGATTAAAAGTATTACAATAAAGAATGTATTGCAATAGTTTTGATTCTTGAAGTTATTTTTGTCTTACTCTACACTAGCAGGGCCATAGACTTTTTGAAACGCAGCGGGGAA